TTTTTTTTTTTTTTTTAAAGATTTATTTATTTATACAAGCACTGGGTACAGTCAGAAGCGTGGGAGGGTAAGAGAATTCACCAGAGCCAGAGCAGAGAACAGAACTGAGGGGAGCAGAGTGTGCGGCAGGAGAGGACTGCCGCGCCATCCCTCTCCTTTCGACTCTAGCCTACCGGACACCTGACAATCAAACTCTGTAACACCTGGAACATTTCCACAGAACACTCCCTTAGCCTCTTGTCTGACCTGAGGACTGGACGTTCACAGGCCACACTCCCCCGCAACTCCCCTCTGGGAGGGAAATTGTGGCATACTCTATTTCAAAACAAACAGGGCCAGCAACAGAGTGTGTCCTCGGTCTCATTTCTGACTGCCATTTCAACTCGTTCTTTCATTTCTCTATAAAATTCTCTTTTGATGTCCGTGCCATCCACCCAGAACACCCCGCTACTTTTCCCAATCTCATGGCAGTCACCAGTCAGTAGCACCTAGGTCCCAATCTTCTTCAACATCCAACAGCCAGGACCATCTGGATGAATTCAATGTCCATGCAACATATCATTGCTTCCCACTGTTTGTAAATGTTCTTCTTCTGAAATTTAAACATCACAGCCCATTTTCTGGCTGTATTCTTCCCTCTCACCCATCCTGAATAGGATACTGATTACTCAACTTTAATGCAACTTCTGATTCTGCAAGTCCTCCATTTTCTCCCAATCTACAGGCCACCTCCCGGTCTTATTTCTCTTCCTCACCAAATTACACCCATGATCCACCAAATAAGTGATTTTCTTTCCAATAGCCTCAATTTTCTTGACATAAAATTCTCAGCTATTCTCCTTTCACTGCTCTGTAGCAAAAGTTCAACCCTAGACAAACCCTGACACTGAATTCTCAGCTGTTGCACCCAGTTCCTGAGAATCAGTGGAGAAAATAACACATCCTTGCAGGCCAGTGCCTCTGCCTACACACCTCGCTCACCCATCCTCCCAAGGGTCCCTAAGTAGCTTTCTCTTCCACCCCCACAATACTGCTTCAAAGCTTTACCACTTTCCTTAAACCCTCCACCATCTAATCCCTTTTCTCCAGTCTACTAGGACACAAAAAATAGAAGCCGACCCAGCTTCCTCTGCCATCCTCTCCTCCTGCATTACTTACCAGCAGTCACACCTCTAGTTGCTGCTTTTTCTATGAACTTAGTGCAAGAAGTTTCCCCCATAAAAGGGAATTCTACTAATTGCTCTCTTACCACCTTTCCCTAAGGGGATTGCCTCTTCATACAAACTATCTCCAGCTTCTCCTTCATGTAGCTCCTTTCCCTTGGCACAGAATGTGCTCGAGATCTTCCCACTTAAAAGATCTTTCCAGAACGCTTTCATTACTACTCTCTCCACATCTTGCTCCTCAAGTTCCCAGTCAAGCTTACAGAAAGAATAGTTCTCATTTGCTGACTCACTGCTACCTATCCAGCCTTATTTACCACTTCCTCCTGACACACTTTCCTCTGGCCACATTAAACTATTTTCAGTTCTCTGGGCCTTTTAATGTGCCATCTTTCTTCCACATTTTCATCTACTGTTCCTTGTGTAAAATTTCCCTTCTCACCTGGGTGACACCTCCTCAGCTTTCTAACTTCAGCTCAAATATAACCTTCTCCAAGAACAGAGGTGTTTCCAGCATGAGTTATCACCTCTGCAAGCTTCGTAGCAAGCTGTGGGCTTATCACTGCCGGCCCCATATTGTGCTGCATATTTCTCCAGTTAATGTGTCTGATGAGCTACTATATCATAAGCCTCTTCAAGGGAGGGAGTTGTCTTGTCTATCTACTCCCAACTTTATCACAGTAACATTTGGAACTCAACAAACATTAGTTTAACTAACTGACTGTTTCATTATTAAGAAGGTAGTAGGAAAATGATCGCTATCCCATCAGACTGAAGGTGGATACACCAGCAAATGGATCCCCCTACTCTCATGTGAACAAGATGAAACAAATTAAGGTATTATACTCACACCTCGGCATAAAAGTATCCTTTAAAGCCAAAAACTTGTATATTCCCAGCGAAGTGAAAACTGTTGAATGATGAAAGACTTGCGTCCTGACCAATGACCTCCTGCATCACGGTGAGGAAGGATCACTGCACATCAGGGGCCTCTGCACTCAGCTGTTATCTCTGACTCTGGCTGGCCCCCTTCACACATGGCTGGGGAAAAGCCCCAAAGCTGCTGGCCTCACCCATCTCTATCTCATGTAGTCACTTCTACTTCATCTGAAGTGAGTATTTATTGCCCCCCCAATCAGCCTGCAAACAGACCATTACATTTCCAAAGAGTAGAAAACAGAAATAGAAAAAACAATACACTTGGAAGAAATGGTCTTTCTATGTACATAAGTATTTACTGAGGACCACTTACAGAAGTAGGGTGCCTGTAGCACTTACCTTTTTTGCTAATTTATTATGTATAAATTCTAGTTCCTACCAGTACTAAAGACTTGAGATACCAGTACATAAATTAGTATCACATATCCTCAAAACTGATTGCTAACTCCAGGTTGTTGACGTCTCTAGCAAGCTAGACTGGCCTGAATACAAAGCAACGTATTCAGGGTAGGTAGCTCAGCGTAGAGTCAGATCCAGTCCCCTGCTTTCTAGGTTTATGATCTTGGGCAGGTTACTTAGTCTCCCTAGGCCTCATCTGAATGTGGAAATAATGATATACCTACTTCATACCTGTGAGGCATTTAGGAAAATGCCTGGCAGGCAGCAAGCTCTCAACATCTGAGTCCAGTGTAATAATTATACCTTGAAGAGTTACTTGAGATTTAAGTGAAAAGATATATTTAAAGTGTTGGCACATAGCAGATGGTGAGTTAAGTGGTTAATATGGTGTTCGCTTGCAAAGGTGCCAGGAGCAACTGATTTTAAATTCATTGGTGTATTATAAACTCTAGATAGAATCTTTTTTTTTTAAAGATGTATTTAATTTATGCATACAAGAACTGGAGTGTAGGCCAGAGGTGCAGGGTGGGAGGGTGAGAGGATTCACCAGAGACAGAGTGGGGAGCAGAACAGGCAGAATACACTGAAATACACTGCTGAGGGGAGCAGCGGGAGAGACAGGAGAGGTCTGCTGCGCCATGTGGATTAGCTCCATGTGGGATCAAACTCATGCCACCGTAGCTGGTGATAGCCTGATAGTGCTCAGACTCAACCCCTTGTACCACCAGGAAGGACCACAGATAGAATATCTTAATATAATATGAAAGGGGCAGGTATACTTGAAGGCAGTTATACACAAGGAAGCAGTGGTGGCAGGTGAAGAGGACTTATAAAGAAAAGAGTAAAAAGAGAGGAGAGCCTTAGAAAGGCTATTTAGAGATTAACTGGAGATAGAGCAGGCTCAGGATGGGGATGGGGGTTTATGACAAAGGGGAGCAGGCTAAGGACTAGAAGATGAGCTGGGCCTGAGGCTATAACAGGAAAAATATAAAAGTGAGACTGTCCTCAGGGTGCTGAAACAAAGGGGGCAAGACCTATGGCACTGGCTGGAAAGATAAGATGGCAAGGCAAATTTTTCAAGGCCACAGGTGGGGACACTGGCCAAGATATTGTCAGATGCCTGCAGTTTGGGCTAAAACCCACTCTGAGAGCCAAATCAGAAAAGTACCTAACTCTTCCAGATCCCAAGGGACAAAGAAGGAAGGACAGTTTTTCAACCTGGGATTAGAGAGTGAAGAAGTAGGACTTGATAGAGGATGTTTTTTAAGGGTCAGCACAGAGCAAAGGATGGACAACTCCATGGGGGGCTAGGTTTTATAGCAAAAGGTGAGATGACATATGGGAAGAGCAAGGATTTTTTTTCTATTGTAACCAGTGGGACATAAATGGGATTCAGTTCCATACACTGAAGCAAACCTAACTGAGCCATGTGGGCATCACACCTACAGACCACTCACATCAAACACGTATTGAGCACCTACTACTGTGTGTCTTCAAAATGCTCAAAGGCTGAAGGGAAAGGCTAGTTCCAAGGTGTTATCAGGAAGAAATCTACCTACTTTCTCCTTCTGGCGGGGGATGGTAAAGAATAAAATAGGGCCCTTCAGGGATAAGACAAGGTATCTTGCCTCATTTTGACAAAGGCAAATCTCTGGGGCTACCCTGGGATTAGGAGAAGAAAACAAATTTCTTGATGGTTTTCCAAACTTGTGGTGGGAAGAAGTAAGGGAGGGAGAAATGACAAAACAAAACAAAATCTTAGGAAGAAATGATCACCCCACACCCTCCCCCATTTTTGTGGTTTTAAGAATTATTTCATATATCTGAATCCTTAATTTAGATAGGTTTCCTTGTCATTTCCCTGTCTTCCACAGTGTAAAATCCCCCATCAGCTCACCCACTTGCCACTACCAATAACAGACATACTAGCAAACACTGTTAGCACAGCCAGCAGCAATAACAGAGTGTTAAGGAATCCATTCCCAAACTCACACTGGCGATTTCCAGGCTCAGTATTTCCTCTGAAGGAGATTCTGGGGAGAGACTCCTGAAGGAAGCACAAATACCTACCAGCACAGTCTTCCAGGGAACACTGGGAGCTCTCTGAGGACACTCCAGGGCAGCCAGGTCTGGAGGGGAAGGAAGTCAGACATACACGGTGACGCTCTCTGATGCCATCCCCACATGTGGCACTGCACTGGCTCCATGGCTGCCACAGTCCCCACGTTTCTGCAAGGACAACAACCATGTTTTTAATGCTAGTTCATTTGAGAATTAGAATTTAACTACACTCACACGAAGCAGCAACACTCTAAGCTCCAGTCTTGAAAAGTCAGTAACTAAAAACAATCTCAAAGTTGTAGAAAACTGGTGTGCAGTTCCCGCCCTTTAAAAAAAAGGCAAGGTCTATAATCTACAGAATATTAACCTTTCTAGAACACTTTAGAGAATTAAGGTCACTGAATGGCCTGAAATAAAAGAAAAGACATGCTCCTCCAAGGAAAGACAGGATGCAAACATTGCTTATCTGGGGTAGAGGCCAGGCATCATATAAGCTGGTAGGAAGAACCATCTAGAAGTGTAATGAACTATTAGAGGCCCAGTGTGGCTAGCATGAGAATATAGAACCCCTGGGAGCCACATACCCAAGGGGAATTTGTACCCAGGTGTAGACTTTTGTCTCAGCACTATCACCTCTGTGGCCTGAGTTTGATCCACACACGGCGCAGCAGACCTTTCCTGTCTCACCCACTGCTCCCCTCAGCAGTGTATTTCAGTAGATCCACCTGTTCTGCTCCCCACTCTGTCTCTGGTGAATCCTCTCACCGCCCGCACCTCTGGCCTACACTCCAGTTCTTCTATGCATAAATAAATATTTTTAAAAATTAAAAACAGAATTGCAATATGATCCAGTAATCCCACTTTGGGACATTTACCCAAAGAATATGGAACAGTATATGCACCCCAATGTTCACTTAAGCACTATTCATAGTAGCCAAGATAGAGAAATACCCAAGCGCCCAGTGATGGATAAAAGAAAGAAAGATAGTAGATAGATAGATAGATAGATAGATAGATAGATAGATAGATAGATAGATAGATAGATATAATGGAGTACCATAAAAAAGATGAAATCTGGCAATTTGTGACAAAGATGGACCTTGATTGGATTACACTAAGTTAATGAGTCAGAGGAGAAAGATAAATACCATATGATTTTACTTGATCTGTACAATAAAAAGAAATAAAGCAAATGAACAAAACAAAAACAAACCCTTAGACTCTGAAAACAGTATGTCAGTAACCAGCCGGCAAGGAGGAGGTGAGGTTGGGAAGGTGGGGGGTGAAATTGTTTGGTGGGGGAGGTGACTGGCTATTTGGTGGTGGGGGTGGTGAGATTTACATAGATGCTGAGGTAAGATGTATTCCTGATATCTATAGTGCTGTAAACAAATTTTACCTCAATAGAAAAAAAAGTTACGAGAGTCAACTTTAACAGCACTAAATGGGGGTGCCCCTAACACCAAAGCTTCAAAACACATACAAGACAAGACACTTCCAGAACAGTCATTATTGACTGATAAGTACAAACTTCTCTTCCAAGAATATATGTGATCACTGCCAGACAGAATAATTGAATAATCCTAAATCCCTTCTCTATCTATGAAATCCAAAAATCCATTATGTCCTACCAAAGCTAGGCACCAAAACATTCTCTGCATAAAAGCATTTCTTCACCTTTATAGACAAAAACTCATAATGCAGTCAAAGGTATACAAAGCCCTACAACAACCTAAGAACATGCAGGGAACATGCAGGGCAGACACATTCTCAGGTGAGCTAAATGGTGCAATCTTTGGAATGAGTCATGGAATATGAGTTCTTTACAGCAATTAAAAGTCTCTCGGATTTTCACAAGAGTGGGAGCATTACAAACCAGTATCCTGGACCAACATCAACTGAAGTGTGGTAATTATGTTCCATCCAGAGGTCCAACTGAGCACAATATTGGTTCTGTGCTCCCAGATCACACTGTAGCAACTCAAATGGCAGAACAATGAGTCTGCTTTGTGCTCAAGCTTCAGAGTTGTTCAGACACTAAGCCCCCAGTGCTTGCAAAGCTTTGGGAATCTCACATTAAAGTCTCCAGGAGTTAAAAGTATACTGTGGCAAATTTTTAAAATATCTACTGGGAATTCCATTACTGTGAAATCTAAATGGAAAATTAAGTCAATATAGAGCTTATCCTTCTCCTGGGCTCATATTTAAAACCATAAAAGGTAGAGTTACAAAAGCTAAGAATCCTCTTGTTACTCTTTCTTAACTCTTATTTTATGTAAATATTAGTTATTTAAATACACAAGGTCATGTGTCAAACTAAAAACAAAAATTCTATTAGTGGGGGTTGGAAATATCAGTTTTAATAAAAGCATGAATCTTAACGTCAAAAATCTCATTTAAAAACTATGTCCTTTTCCTTTAAAAGTAAAATCAGAGATAACAGAATAACCAACAATTAAAAAATAAACATTTAAACTAAGCTTCATGTCTTTTTATTTTAAGCCAAATTAAGCAAACAGGAAATCACTCAAATACAGCAAAGGATAAATTTAGTCAGGCAAATAAAAATAATGCCTTAAGTAACCCTACCAGTTCCTTGAAGATTTCTAATAAAAGGCTTGAGAAAAATACCCGGCAAAATAGGCACTCAGTAGATTACGACAGTTCACATGTGAGAAATGAAGAGCAAGATGAGCAAGATGTCAAATAGCCTCATTGCATGAATGAAAGCTTGTTTTGTTTTCTTTTGTTTTGTCCTGTTTAGATGCCCATACCTGTGTCACACTACATAACAAACCTGTTTGACCAGTTTAAATACCATTCAGATCACTCTAGAGGATATAAATTCTAAAAGAGCAAAATTGGTCTGGAATATGAAAAGGAAGATTTGTTTTCATCCCATCCCAAGACTTCCTGAAGGAATCCAGCCTATGAAATATTCCCATCAGCAAGACATTTTGCTCAAGAGACTAAGGTAACTAATTAAAATGTTTTCACTGGAAAATTCTACAGACACAGTGAATAGCTAAAAGCAGCTCTAGGAACAAAGGCACGTGGATAAGCAGTACCTATTTCCTGTGAACAAAACAAGGGTCAATTACATTGGACAAAGCATATTTATGTCTGACCCAGTGGACTCCAAAGTGGGTTGTGTATCTTTCAAGAACCAGGGTAGGCAGCACGAGCCAATGACATGAGGAGGAAAATATTACAATCTTTTTTTCTATCTAAAAGTTTTATATTGTTTAAGACATGTACAGACACCTGATTGTATGAGAGGCAGTACAGCATAGTGAGGAAAGCAAACTTCCAAGCCAGCCTAACCACCACCTATTTAATCCTTATGACAATACTGTGTGTTATATTGTCAGTTTTAGAAGTGAAGACATGGAGGCACAGAAAGGTTAAAACACATGTCCAAAGTGCCTCCATGTCTTCACTTCTAAAACTGACAATATAACACACAGTATTGTCATAAGGATTAAATAGGTCAATAATCATAAAGCACTTAGAGCAGTACCTGGTACAAAATAATCACTACATAAACATTAGTTTTATTATGTCAGACGGTCACATAATATCACATAAGCATTCTTAAGGAATCTTTAAGGAAGAGAGGGAGTTCCACTAAGTGGGAGATTTAATGTTTTGCATTCAGAGAATTATGGAGTTAAATGAAAGCATCCAAGGGTGTTCTTATATGAATTTTTAAAATTATATTTTATAGTATAGGGAAATTAACTCACAAAGTAGAAAAGTGATTTTAAAAGTCTGCATCAAAGAATTAAAGCTCACACTGTTATTGCAAGCACCTGTAAATAAGAAAATGACAGGGAAGACCATACTGCTACTCTTTTTTTTTTTTTTAAAGATTTATTTATTTATTTATTTATTTATTTATTTATTTATTTATTTATTTATTTATTTCTATAAGCACTGGGTACAGTCAGAAGCGCGGGAGGGTGAGAGAATTCACCAGAGCCAGAAGGGAGAGCAGAGCAGGCAGAAGGACCGAAGCACACCGCTGAGGGGGAGTAGCGGGCGGCAGGAGAGGTCTGCGCGCCATGCGGGACCCTCCTCCGGTGACTGGGGAGCAGCCGGGGACCGAACCAGCGCCGCAGAGGGTGCGGGCAGCTTCGCAACCCAGCGCTCAACTGCTGCGTCACCGGGGAGGCCCCATACTGCTACTCTTGCTAAAAAGCTTGTCCAGTCTCACCATAAAGGAAAAACAAGATTATCTAATTAGAGAAACAAGAAGATGGCCATAAATATTAAATTATCTAGAAAACTATGTGTTAAATATATTTAATTTTTATTTAAATAATAAAGGACAAAAACTGTGTGAATATTAATGTATACCCTCTATCATAATTCTTAGCTTTACCCTCAATAAATATCACCTTAGGATAAAGGATTATACTCCTTAATATAAAGCCCTTAGGGAATATGAATTCAGAATTTCTCAAATTAGGCTTTTTTCAAGTCATACATGACTAACCCCCCTCTAGCAGGATCTCAAGCAACATTCCATAACCAAATTATTAACATTTCTGAAGAGAAAAATATAAACATTCACACTAAGTAGGATAAATAATCAGAAAGTAATTGTTTTGGGCAGTATCTATTACCTAGTTGCTGCACTATGTAATTGTTAATTACAAACTATCCTAATATCCTAAGACACCTGGTAAACAAGACAAACATGTCAAGCACATTATTCCGTTTTCAAGAGGAATAAGAAGTCAGTGGCTTACATAAGGCATGGTGGGTTCATTGGGTCCCAGAATGATGCCATTTGGCAAAAAAGACAAGCTTCACTGGTCAAAGCTACTGATTTAAATGGAAAATGAAGAGAACTTGGTGCACTCATAAATTTTTATACTAAAAACGCAAAAGGCACTGAGGTTCCTATATTAGCATAAAATTCATTGATTTGCCAGGGTCAAAGCCATCATTGTCATCATCATCGAGTGGTCTACAGGAGCATGGAGCCCTCTACCTTTTGCTTCCATCTGTGCTGCTTGGTGCACAAGGTGTCCCCAATCCTTCTGCCTGGGCAAGAACCATGACCTGCTCTACCTTTTCCAGTGTCTTTTCTGCAGCAGTGGGGGAAACCCCCACTGGAAGAATCTGTGAATTCTTAAGCCCAGAAACTTAAGAACCAACAAGATAGAACTCTTGTTCACAATGTCTTTCATCAAATGGTCCACATTTCTTTAGTCCTTTGGGTTGTTTCTGTTAAATTCGGTCACTTAGGTTTTTTTTCTTTTAATGAGTAACTTCTTTTGAAAAGACAAGTATATCTTGAATGATTCGTTTGATATCATTGTTTTTGTACTAACACCTAGTTAAGACTCATCTCACCTGAGTTCAGTTTTCACTTCAACAAGTATGTTTTGAGCACCTGATTATGCACTAGGTATACTAAGTCGGTTAAATAAAGATCAAATAGCAATAGCTTTATTGCTTTTGCCATCAAATGAAGCTTTTGATGCCTTTTGCCGTCAAAGACAGCTTTTGCCATCAAATGAACTTCCCCAACCTGGGAAAGGATGCCTGGAGGTTGAGGGGTGTGGGGAAGGGTGTTATGGACAGGACGAGAAAGGCACTGGACAAGCAATGACAGAAGTGACAAATGCCATGAAAGAGAAAACAAAGACTGCCATGCTAGCTTACAGCAAGGGAATTCAACTAGTCCGAGGTCAAGGAAGAGTAACCCAAGTGGGGGCTTGGAGATGGGTTAATGCTAACCGGGAAAGGTGGGCAGAGCATAACCTAAGTTCCATTCCAGAGATGGTGACGGTGGGGTGGCAGCCCAGCCATGCAAGGCCCTGTAGATTCTCATCCTCATGTCAAGTGAGATAACTGACAGACTTTATGCAGGGAATCACCTCAATTAACCTGAATTTTAAATAAATTCTGATTGCAGTGAGAGAATGAAGTAGGTGGTGGAATCAACTTGAGTTCAGGGGTGCTGGAGGTTTAAACTGAAACATGTCAGTGGAATGGGGGAAACATGGGGAGATTCAAACAGAGGAGGCAAAATCCACAGTGATTTATTTATGTGTAGGAGAAGCAGCCTCCTGGGCTCTGGTTTTGGGTGCGGGAGTCCTATAGTGGGGAGCATGTAGGGGGTAAGATAATGAAACCACAACCAGTTAACGTTGTTTTTGAGGTGACAGCCATTCAGCAGCTCTTGGATGCAGGTTAGAGATGCTGATTTGGAGTTGTCAGCAACGACATAGTAATCACCTAGCAGTGTGTGAAGAGTGAAAAAAATGCAGAAATCCAACACATAGGGGGTTGTGAAGTGATGTGGAACTGATGACAAAGGAAATCATGAAGGAACAGCCAGGGAGGAAGGAGGCAAACGAGATGAGTGTGACATAACAGAATCAAGATCAACGAAGACACTAAGTGTCCTTGGACTGTGGTACCTTGTGATTAGGTTCCAGGTCACTGCTGCCTTAATGAGCGCATTTTCAGGGGAGGAGAGTGGATTTGGCGTGGGCTGAAAAGTGAATGTGAGATGAGGAAATAAATTCACAAGTAAAAATTTCTTTTCATGAACCTGGGCTATAAAAGGAAGAAGAAAGAAGGTGTCATCTGAGGGAGAACCAGGGTTGAGGAGTTTTCATTTTGCTTTTAGGTAAGAAGATTCAGTACTTTTCAAAGCTGATGGGAATGCACCAGTAAAGAAGGGACGGTAGAGACAGAGAAGAGAAAGGGGATAATGATTAACAGAAGGTTCCAGAATGAGCAGAGGGGTTGGGATCAACAATGAAGCAGAGGGTTGATTCTGTACCAGGGAATGATACTTTCTCCCCATGACAGCAGAGGCCAGGGAATGGATGGGATTGATCTGTAGGCTTGTAGATATTTTGGTGGGAAGTTGAGGGGCTTATACCGGATGACTTCAGCTGCTCAACAAGGTAGGAGTCTGCCTGGCTACAATGGCTCCAGTCTGCCTCGGTATGAACTTATGCAACTTGGGTGAGGTGGGCGGCTGACAGGTGGCTGGATCTGTCCAGGGCTGGGAGGTTGCCTGGCAGATGAATCGGAAGGAGAACAGGCCAGAGTATTTTAAGCTACTGGTATGAAAGTGATTTATAGCAATGAGCCATGGAATCTAGGCTAGATAGAGAGGTAAGTGCAAGCAGGAAGTGGCCAGTGGGTGTAAGAATCAAAGACAGGGCCTTGTCGGCTAAAGAAAGGAAGTATATAAATTTAGAGCAAGAAACACTTGGTTTACAAAGATGTTCAGAGGCTTGGGCTGTCAAAGAGCCAAGGATTTAGTGGGGAGAAGTTAAGAACACATAAAAGTGAACCAGACAATCTATACCAGATTAACCTCTTGCCAAGCCCAGGTTTGCACCTGACAAAAGGGGAAAAAAAGGCAAAGAGGAACATGAGGGGTGGATGGAATTGCAATAACCCCATGTGTTGTGATTAGGTATAGCATTACACAAAGAATTCAGAATTGAGTAAGTTTTCAGAAATCTTGCTTTGAGATCTCACTACAGAGGCTTTCATTCCTAGAATGAATGAGGAAAAAGACAAGATAATCTGAAGGAAGTGAGAAGTTACTAAATACAAGTGGGGATTTAGTTTTGAATCTGATCATGCCTACCATGGACTTGCCACATGATGTAATAATATGGTTTTTAAAATATTGTATAATAAACCTAATGCATGTTGGTGATTCCTCGATGTCAAGCATTATGCTAGGATCTATACTTGTTCCTCTCATTCAATTCCCACAACTCCCTGAAGTAAATACTCTTATTATATCCATTTTACTGATGGGGGAACTGAGACCTAGAAAAATTAAATAAGTGAAGAGCTGAGTCTGCTGACTAGTACTCTTAATTTTTCAGATATGTTATTAGGAATGAACCATTAAAATGATGGTAATTCACAGAAAATTAAGTTCACCTAAATTCAAAATACTAACTTTGATGACACGAAGGCACCAATTTGAGACACACAAAGAATTAAATCTCATTACCAACCTATATTTCTATCAATTAGCATGCATAAAATTAAATCTCAATACCAACCTATATTTCTCTGAATGAGCATGCATTCTTTCTTGTCCATTGTGTAAAAATGGCTTCTGCTTGAAACACCAAAGTCAAAGCAGTATTTATTCCTCCCCATGTCAAACAAAGTGCAGTTGAATACTGTTCTTCTCTCTCCCAAGGTCAGGCTATTTTCCGCCAGTAGTGTGGTCCTTTCCCCAGGGAGTCTAGGGGCCTCCTTAAATACAGTGACTACACCTTGGACAAAGATGCATGGTGGGGGCAACACCATCACCTCCACCCTGGACTCACATGTGAGTTCTGGAACCATCACCAATTTGTATCCAAATTTCTGAGCCAGGTCAATGGGTCCTGTGGAGGTAATGACAGAGTTTCGGCCAAGCAACCTCAGTTCCACTGTGACATAGGCCTCTGGTCCCACAGGTGCACAGTCAAACTCAACCCACTGACCTTGAGAGAGCTCTGTCCTCTTGCTGGTTCTGATTACCAGCGGCTGCCCCTGATTTGTTCTTGCCTTGGGAAGACTGTTGGTGAAGATAACGTCTACCAACACATTGGGTTTGTCTCCAGGGAATAGGCACAGTGGTTGATTGGTAAAAAGGCCCACCTGGAAGGTGCCTTCTGCTGCCTTGGTTGATCTATTCAAGTCAATATGAAAGACTGGCCATTCCACCTTCAGAAGGGCACTTTGCTCCCACCAGGAGGTTGGAGTGCTGTTGTCTGTTGTTTCTGAGGTCATCGTGAACAAATAGTCACCAGCCTCCTTGAAGTAAAAGCACTCAAACTCAAATGTTCCCTCAGACTGGTTGGTCAGGAGGTATTTGGTGGTAACAGTCTGGTTGGTGCTGGCCTCCAACAACAGGACAGACACATTCCTCAGCGTGCCATTGGCACCATCCACAATCTGGAAATCCACAGGCACTGTGCGGTTGCTTAGCGCTACATGACCTGTCCCTCCAAGGAGGAGATATTCAGCTTCTCCAAGAACTGCAATGAAATGATCAGAATTGGTTTCAAGAATGCATGTTCGAGCAGTACTAAAAATGACAGTGATGAAGATAGCATTCTAAACACGAGATGCTTGAATTGAGCCAAAGATGAAGGAAAATGATGCTGAGTGCTTGTCCAAGGAGTTGAGTACTGCCCTATGTCCATTCTAAGGTGACTCTGATCTTTCATCATTATGTGTAAAACAACAAATCAGTGATAAATACTCTGAATTCACAATAGTCAACAACATATTGTATCTTTAATGCAAATAGAAAGTAAGAGTAACAATGGACAATTCTTTTTTTTTTTTTTTTTTTTTTTTTTTTTTTAAAGATTTATTTATTTATACAAGCACTGGATACAGTCAGAAGCACGGGAGGGTGAGAGAATTCACCAGAGCCAGAACGGGGAGCAGAGCAGGCAGAAGGACCGAAGTATACTGCTGATGGGAGCAGCCGGCGGCAGGAGAGGTCTGCGCGCCATGCGGGACCCTCCTCCTGTGGCCGGGGAGCAGCCGGGGATCGAACCAGCGCTGCGGAGGCTGCGGGCAGCTTCGCAACCCAGCGCTCAACCGCTGCGCCACCAGGGAGGCCCAACAATGGACAATTCTTAAGATAAAAATGCAGAACCTCACTCTTCTCATTTCAGATATATTCTAACATATTGGTATTTGGGGGAAATGGATACACAGCAAAAATGCTGTAAAATGATATAACAAACTTCTCTAGATTACTTTAAAATAAAAGACCCTGAATATACCTCAAAGTTGGTTTTTTTTTCCTGATATTCAAGACAAATACTGGGGCATTTTCACCAGTAAAGAAACAAGTATCCTTGCTTTATATGAGGCAGACATTGTAAATGAACAAGAAATGTTAATACTTTATTCTGCATGAGTTACTTAAGGAGTAGAGTGAGAGTCTGGGAAATGGCAATTTTAAAGACATTACTGCAACCACTCCTGGCTTAGATAGGACAGACGCCTACCAATCCACAAGTATCACTCAGTTAGGATCAATCATATCTTTTTTAAAAAGACCCAGCAGAGCAGTTGAAGTAAACAGTGAAAAGAACACAGACACACAAGAATCCTTGTTTCTCTATTGAATCTTATCCAAATATATATCAAAGGAGACAGAATTTGGCAAAGTCACAATCAGCTGGCCCACAGCTAGGGTGAAAAACAATTCTAGATTTAAAGGGCTGCAGGGACCCTTTTTGTTTGAAAACATGTGTTAAAAAGCCTATACCTCACATGTATATAATACATACATATATACGTCCAAAGGGACTCAATGCATTGTTTGGACTGAATGCCTTTAAATATACCCTTACACATGATTCAATCATTGACTGATTATGAATCATTGTGTGATTCAGGAATGAATCCACAAGACTATATTGACACAGAGGGTTTTTGTTTTCAATTAGCACAGCACTTCATTCACTTCCTATTTAAAAATGAGATGAAATTTAAAATATAAAACTTGACTGGACCTGAATGCTTGATCACTACTTGCTTGAATAAAGGTATTTTAGTCAAAACAAGAGGAGGATACTCCTTTTTGGATAGAGACAACAGAAGGTTGCAGAAGGCAGCTGATCCTGGTACAGCTCATATGCTGGTTCGGAGCTGACCTGGCACCTCTTTGTGACCAGATGGCTAAGACAACTCTAGCATGCACCACAGTCCAAGGAAGGAGTTAAGATGAGAACAGAAGTCATATTAATTTGAATCTAGTGAAAAGCATGCTTCTGTGATGCATTTTAAGATTGAGAGGCGTATACCACTTAGCTAATAAAAGCCTATTTTCAATGACAAAAATTGTCAATGAGGCAGATCAGATACTGATTTGACAGCAGCCAAGCAATGAAAAAGACATACACATACTTTTCTATGTTTATAGCACATCCTAAAGTGGAGAGTTTGCTGTTATGGGTTCCCATAGCAGGGGATAGAAATGACAAATGACAAAACTTGCCAATTTACTATGAAACTCTGTAATTATGATTGTAGTGCATCTAGTAAGTACATGCTACTATAGTATAATTGTCTCTATTCTTTTATTTTCCCTCCATGCATTCCTTTGTACTATTTAAAATAACTGGGTTCTCAATATGAGGATGTTGTTTGGAAAAAATGAAACTGACTGGTATTGGTATAGTTTGATAAATACCAAATGGAGAAAAAAAAACAGATCTATGAAGATAATTCCTTTTCCATTAGTAGCCTGTGTGTTCAACTTGTATGCTCTATTTTATGCTCATTCAACTTTCATTTTTAAATTCCAGTGAGATAATTTGCTTTCAAAAATAAGAAGCATCCTAGCAGACTTTGTTTAAATGGAAAATTTTGATGTTTGTATTTATCATTATGAAAACAAAGGACACACAATTTTTTCAGACAAGCATATGTTACATGTAGAGCAATCTGATTTTAAGTAGGGATTTTAAGTGGAGTCCATTGACTAAAGTTTGCCTAACTTTTAATTTGAGTTTAAAAGAAAGAAATCCCAGTTCGGTTTTCCATAAACCAAGTATTTTTATGTTCAAATAAACTTCCTAAAGAAGAAAAGAATGAGGACTCAGTCTTTTGATCAATGCACACTCTCCATATACCTGGCTGCAACCACGGACAGCACATTAGCCAGCACCCTCTATCTCTTGGATTATAATTTTTTCATCTATTTGAAAACACTCCCATATCATCAACTGCTAAGCAGTCTATAAATCTTCAAAAGAAAAATAGTATTATATCATATGGCTGAATCTATTGGTTCATTTGTATAAAACTCTGAGAAATGAATCTGATTTTCAGTTGAAACAAACTGAAGAAATTTTTTTTTTTTTTAAAGATTTATTTATTTATTTATTTATTTATACAAGCACTGGGCACAGTCAGAAGCGTGGGAGGGTGAGAGAATTCACCAGAGCCAGGGAGGGGAGAAGAGCAGGCAGAAGGACCAAAGCACACTGCTGAGGGGAGCAGCGGGCGGCCTGAGAGGTCTGCGCGCCTTGTGGGACCCTCCTCCAGTGGCCGGGGAGCAGCCGGGGATCGAACCGGCACTGCAGAGGCTGCGGGCTTCGCAACCCAGCGCTCAACTGCTGCGCCACTGGGGAGGCCCCAAACTGAAGAAAATTAACATTAAGTAACTGTTTTATGCTCAGATATTCAAGGTGTTTCACATTCTTGATCTGATTTTATCATCACAACTCTGAAGTTAATATTATGCTAAGGTTGAAAGAGGTAAGAAATTTGTCTAAGGCATAACACTGGCAAAGACTGAAAGGTTCATTGGTTTTAAAGATTTTACCAGCAACTCTATCATATCAAATGAAATCATATGTAGAACCCCATGTTTAAAGCTTCGTTTCCAGGGTAAGTGAGTAGAGTTTAAGTGTACACTACTGAATTGCCAGGAAATCAACCAAAGAGAACTCAGGGTAAAATGCATGTCTCTAATTTATTAAAATGAAAGCAAGTTGGCTCCCCCCACCCCCAGTTATTTATTAAAGACTTAAAAATATATTTAAAGTAAAATGGGAATAATGCAGAACCTGAAGAGAAACCAAAGTTACAAGGACGACAGTTTAAAAGGATATGCATTGTGGAGCCTGCCCTGTCTCCTTCATGCAGGCTCATTAATATCAGCAATTTAAAGCTTCACATTTATGCTTCTTCATTGTTACCCCCACCACAGCATTCAGTATGCTCTCCATACTCACCATAGTCACAGAGCACCACCAGCAATAGATTTGAAAAGTCTTTCAACATTTGTTTCATTCTGATCTGCAAAATCCCAGGTCTTTGGTCTCCACATGTCCTTTCTCACATCCAAATCGTGGAATTCTTTTTTTCAAAAACACCTGAAATTAGAACCTCAAAAAAATGATGACTATTCAATGTGATGCATAAAATAGTAATCATGAAATGACAAGACATTCTAAGAGGTCAAACTTCCTGGGTGACACTTAAAAGAAAATAGGGATGACAATAGCTTTCTAGGGAAATGTCTATAATGATACATATCCTTTTTTGTTCCATCATAGCCCTACACCAAGATTACCTTTGCAAAGCACCAAGTCTCTTATGTTTATAGCACATCCTCAAGTGGAGAGTTTGCTGTTATTTGTTTAATTTCATCAAAGCTAACAGCCAATCCGGATAATACATCTTCACTTAAGTGCTCGGCATTTCACACCAATCAATTTACTAAATTTTGCCCCACTTACACTCTGCATTGTGCTGCCTTGTTTCCACAAATGGAGTTATAAACACTTCTTTCTTACACAATGAGTGTGTTATCTGGATAGTTTCATTTCTTAATGCCTAGGAGCTACAGCAAAATAATCAGACCTTAAAAAACAAAGTATTTCAGAATATTACACTTAAAATATAAACTTCATGTGACCCCAATTTTCCTCGTTTAGGGCACTCTAAGGAGAAAAATAAGGAATAATCTTCTGTCACTCTTCTAATACTTACTGCTGATTGTATACATCAGAGATAGATGATTTCACGCAGCAACCTTCCTAGACCACCTGGAAGGGCAGAAAGACCTTGTTGGCCTGTGGTTCTGAAAGATTTGTGGGAGGAGGCACTTGCTTTGATATAAACAGATTATTAAACTACAGAGTAAGATGCAGGCCTTTTAAGTGCCAGTTTTTATCACACTAGAGTCTAGTAAACTATGGACTACTAAAATAATCAGACACATACTTTCTTAATGTTTACATTCCCCCCCATTTTCCACAGTTAATATATTTTAATAGGAATATTACATTCAGTATATGTATGTTACATCTCTTCAGGTAAGACAGAAATTAATGTAATTTAAAAATCTGATTAAAATAATAAAAAATTCAATGGAAAGAAAACTGATGTGCCTCTATAGCTTTCTTTCAGTGGGAGCTGGCTGAACAAAGGAAATACCGTACTTCCTCAAAGGGAAGCAGACATTTGAAGTGTAATTATGCAGATGTTAGGGCTCCCTTCTATCCCCAACAGAGAAAGAAAATTCCGTTTTGCAGGAATTAGGCATAGATTTGACCCAATCCTTTCCTTGAACATTTAGAAACGTGGCCAAAGACAGGCAAGCATCAGCTTATCTCCTCAAGGGAGGGCACTGGGGCAATTTAAACACTTCCTTTAAGTCAGTGATACTCAGTAACCAAAGTAAGAAGAAGCAATAAGCAAAATCCTGGCTCTTAAAAGCTGAACTGGCTGGTCTGTCCCAAGTTGCTTGCTTCCCCATGACAACCACTCTTTAGAAAAAAGCTCCTAAGCCCAACTGATTTTGTGATTATAACACACTTTCCTTCTTGTGTAAATGATCAGTTAGACACAAAACTGTATGATAATCTATATTTAAAGCTGAATGGAAATGGAGTTATAAAATAAACCATGCTACCTAAACACCCAAGTATGGGTTTTTAAAAATGTTCTCAAGCTTTTGGAAATAAATGCTGAATTTTTACTAGCTTAACCACGAATTTGAAGAGGTTAACAGAGCACCCCAGAATGGAACAGAATGCAGGGTTAAAAACATGTTCCAATAACAAGACTTACTACTTAAAATTTTTGGCTTGAAAATCAGTTTGAGAGAATAAGAACTTAGGTATATTTCACAGACCTTTAAAACTATGTAGCATTTACATACATAAACATTTATATACAAATTGTAAATGTATCAGTTACTGGGTAAGAGAAAGTTGTGAATATTCTCAATGGCTAAAGCCATCGGGATAAGCCGAAATCCCATGTTTTTGCTGAAACCAGCTAAGATACACACTTTTGTATTCCCTACAAGAAAATGAATTAAGCCTAAATCCACGGCATCAATGACTTATCATAGGATAAAAGGAAAAACCAAAAGCAGCATAGTGAGTTTTCCTTTCTAATAGCCTTGCACACGCTCACCTGCATATCTAACAAGAACAACCTTTATTAGGAGGAAACCCCTAATTCCAAAACGACTCCTAGAAACACGATTGGATTGCACGTATGTATTCAATGCAGCTGACTGCCCCGGACCTACAGCTGGTGCAGCTTTGCTGGGAAGCTGTGTGCTCCCCACATCCACCCGCCTTTACAAAGCCTCGAGAGTCAAGTTCATGCTCGGAAACTCTAGCGCTGACCATGTCGTCAGCACAAAGCCCTCTTAAAAGCTGACACTGTGGAAAAGCTTATATCTGATACCTTTGTATCCCAGAAAGGACTTTTTGTAAAGCAGCAAACTTGCTCTGAAATGCTCAGAATCACTAGACGGTACTCCACGCGGATCCCGACTAACCGGGCTCAACACCCACGTACCGTCAGCCTGTTCCTCGGCGACGCCCGCGCCCGGGAGAGCCGAGTTCGGGTTAGAGCCTCGACTCCGAGGGGCAGAGCCCGAGACTCTTCAAAGCATGTCCCTGGGGGCAGAGGCTGAGCACCCACAAAGAGGGACGATGACTGGCTGCACGCAGGAAACAGCTCGGTCCACCTGCGCTTTCACGCCGCGGGACAGGTGGGGGCAGCAGGATTTGGGGGCACAGCGGGGCGCAGGGGCGCCGCCCGGCCCCCGAGGCGCAGGGGTGCCCGCCGGGTGGCGAAAGGTTCCTCTTACCTCTCGGGACTGGCGGCCAGGTCGGGCGAAGCGGCGAGGTGGCCAGAGGCCTCAGGGGCCGCAAGACAGCGCGCTGGGCATCCCGCGTCCCGGGACTGCGCGCCCCGACCCGAGGCGCTCGCCTCCCGCAGCCTCTCCCCGGCCCGCCCCTCGAGGCGCCGGGAGGGCGGCTCCGCGAGGGCGGGGGGGCCATCGGGAGCGGGAGGGGCCGCCCCCACGCCCTCGGGGCCGCGCATCCTTTCCTGCCCGCGCCTCGCCGGCCCGCGGCCGGACGGGAATCCGGCAGGAAACGCCCACGGCCGGCCTGCGCGCCCGAGAGAGGGAGCCGGGCCCCGACGCACCCACCCAAGGTCCGGAGGCGGGACCCGGGTCTGCCGGGCGAGCCAGCGCCGTCTCCAGATTTCAGGTTCTATCACTTCTCCCCCACTATCATTTTCTTCTTGGGAGCCGCAAGACGAAATCATTGAAGTGGCATCACTGGTGGATAACCTTGGTTTCCTGAGTGTTTCAAAAGAAAACAGTTCGTGTAAAGTGCATCTTTTTCTTTCTCAGGGGCCAGAACTGATTAATTAAAAATAACATTTACAAAACTCTGATCTACAAGTGTTAAAAACGTCGTTAGAATCGCCGGTCTACCTTGTTTTACAGCTGTACTTGTTTTACAGTACACTGTAATGTGCCATAGTTTACCATTTGCTTTTCTTGCACACAAAATATACCACGTAACAGACAAAAATAATGTTAGTAATAAAAAAAAATCTAAGGGCAGTGATGGCCTCTGGGGAGAAGGTGTTTGGAGAGGCACCAGCAAACTTTTTGAGATGGTAGATGTTTGTTCTATTGGTTGGAATGTGAGTAATGTGGATTTATTATGAATTTGTCAAAACTTATCCAACTTAAGATCTGTGCATTTCACTTTTGTAAACTCTACCTCGATTTTTAAAACTTAAAACTACAGCAATTGCAGGTTCTTGAAAAATCACTGATTTTTTAAAAAGATAGCACAATTGTTCAATTATCACAATTACCACGGACACAGATTGCTAAGTACTTATCTTGTCAAATAATATTAGTAGCACTAATTCCACCCGAAGCCATCCAGAGGACTTGGTCATCATCCAGTTTCACTGCCAGTTGGGATTATCTAGTAGATATCCACTTATCAACTCAAATTGAGAGTCTTTTCAAATACCTGCTGCAATCCCTGACATTTTCAATTTCGAATGCAACAGCTCAATGGAAACAATAGGCTTTGGAATTAAGATAAAGCTGAGATTAATTTCAGGCCTGCCCCTGAAGCCTTGGGCAAATAGTTAATCCTTTCTTTCCTCCACAATAATGGGCATATAATTGAAGTTTGTGGTGATTGAGTGAAACATAGAAAGCAAATTGCTCTGCATTAATCTTTCTGACACTTTTCCCAGTAATTCACTCTTGGCAAGAGGGAGGACCTAAAGCCGCGTATAAATGGTTGGATCAGTGGTTTTGCTCATTTTTTAGATGTGTCATCATTTTTGCCTTAGTGAGAGTTCTTGCCAAACTGTATAACTGTCCTTATGGAAGAGTTAAGATGGTTTATGCTTTTCTAAATGAATGCAACACAGATGTGCAGGGGAAAAACAAAAGTTTTTTGTTTTTTTTTTAAAAGAAACAAAACAATGATATTGAACTAAAACAAGCTGTTGGGCTATCTTGAACTGGTCTAGTGATCCTCTGCAAATTGTACAAAATTAATCTACCATCTCAATATCCTTTATGCAAATGGAGAGATCGTTTATTTCCCTAGGTAACACTGAGAGAAAAACTTTAACTTACATGATTGTCCAGATACAGGAAGAATATGAATGACCCGATTTCCACACTGTAATAACAAGATCTTAACTGTGTGTTAGCCTGACTCTTCTGGAGTGCTTCCCACATCATGGATATGGCCCATGTTTTGGAATTTATATAAAACAGAGCAGATCTCAGACAGGCTAAGCCCTTTGGAAGGGCTCTTTGGAAGGACACGTTTAAGTTGGCAAGTCAATTTATGACACATTATAATCCAGAAATTACTCAATTCAATTAATTTTAACAAGGAATGTATCATGTACAATCACTGACCTAGGCCATTGGGAATTCAAAAGTGTTTTATGAGTCCTTGAACTTAAAGAAACCCAATTTTTCTATTTCCTTATTGCCTCAAGAAAACATTTAGAGAATAAGACAAACTACGGTCAAATATATGAGACAATAACTCCTAGGGAGTTTAGAAAAAATAGAATTGTGTACTAGAAACAAATTTTTCTAAATCTTGAACAAAGTACGATTTTGGTTTTGGGGGTGGGCTGGATGAGTAGGAAGTACTGAAAGGAAATCTGGACAAGGAAAATGTCTCCCAGCAACAGGAAGGGGCACACAGCACACTGCTCCCCTGACCCAGTGCCTTCTTCCTACTGGTCCTTCTGAGCCTGGTTTCCCAGCTCTTCCTCTTCCAGGCCTTCCCAGGCCCTCCCTCAGAACAAAAGGCTCCACCGTGTGCTTTCCCCAGCACGGCACTTATGCCACTTCCATAGCACACCTTTCATTCCATCTTCACTTGGGGTAGTTCATATGTCTAGTTCCTCAATAGGCCACCTTCTTAAAGGCAGAGATTATATCTTACGCATTTGCACTTCCCCCCATGCCCTGTGACCTACAAAATTTCTCACCATAGTCAATAAATGTCTTTTTTAAAAATTGAATTGAATTTTAAAAAGCGTCTTATTTTAAAATTGAATTGAATGAGCATAAAGCAGGATGAAGTAGTCACATATAAATAGGCATGTACATTGGCATTCATTCATCCAGTAAATATTTACTACTGCATACTGCATACTGTTGTAGGCTCTGAGGATATATCCAGGAACAAACAAGATAAAAATTACCCTTGTAGAGTTTACATTCTAAATCTATCATGAGGGATAGTATTAGCAATAAATTTACATAAATTCAACCATAGCTGTTGGCAAAAAAAAAAAAAAAAGACAATTTCACTTACATAGTTTAATAATAGTTTGCTATAATCCAGTAGGTTTTCAAAAAATCTATTGTTGATATGTAGTTTTTATATATTACACTTACTATATTCATAAAATATTTATATCCATGTGTCAATCAATAGGGATTCTAATCATAGACTATGTAGAGTACTTTATTGGCAATTTAGGAGATTTTGAGGATCATATTGAGCATGCTTGATTTTATCCTTTAGGCACAGTCCTTAAAATCTAAGTACCTTATAAATTGTAACTCTACTGAACCAAAATGAAAATCTGAGATTGTGGGCAAAGGAGAACCATTTAAATTACTTGAGCATGAGAATGACATGATGAATCCACATCTGGTCAGATTAGTCTGATAACAGGGAACAAGAGATAATACATTCACATGAACACATACAGTCAACACCAGTGGAATTCACATCAAGAATTTTCTTAAAAACAGTTCATGAGCCATTGCCATTCTTTTAAAACAACCAAAACTCTAAGAGCCTGAGGTTATAATATTTATAATCAACTCTTGATTATAAAATTTAAAAGAAAAAATCTTAACATACTGGCTTATTCTGACTAAAGGCTTATCATTTTCACATATTTTTCAAACAGTATTTAAAAAGAACACCAAGAAAAAACATTTTTAAATTTTGCAGAAATTTTACCCTATATACATTAATGACAATCATTTAACCGTGTAAACAGTCTCACTTGTACAATGTAAAAAAATTTTGACAGTATATAACTAGAAATATTCCATTAACAAAAAACTACAGATTTATGCTCCCAAGAGCAAAGTTAGGAAAACAAAAAAAAATAATTATACCAGTGATAAGCACCAACGCAGAACTTTTTTGCACTTAGGGCCTCATTGGTTGTATTTAAACATAACCTCTACCAATAGAGGACCAAGATAAAACCTTATTTGGCAACAACAACAAAAAGATAAAAATATACATACAGAGGTCAGGAAAACTATTAAGACCCATTAAAACAAAAAATTGGTAAAATCAATCATATTTGTTTCTAATTAATGTGACATTTGCAAAATATATTCATGTCACTTTTATTCCTTTTTAATTCACTTTATGCAATTCAGATTGCTCTGTTTTTGTTAATCTGTTGTCACTCTAATGTAAATAAGTATCTTGAATGATGGGAGTTTGCTATAATCCAAATCATTAGAGCTAGATAAACTAGTTCAACAATTTCAATTGCAGCTTATTCCAAATGGTAAAATAGATTATTGATGTTTGTGATTTTTATAAACCTTAGCCAGATGAGATAACTCTGTGTGTGTGTGTGTGCACATGCACACGCATACTCTAGAGCAAACTCAGGAGAGTAAATACAACCTAGAGAGAGGAGTCACATATAGTTAATCTTACACCGTGGTTTTGGGCACACAGACACTAACTTTACCCCCCAAACAAACCCGAGGCTGGGCAGTTGGGGAATTAAGAGTCCTCTCATCATAAGGTAGAATCAGTTTCAGGTTTGAAAAACAGGACCAAGACAGGATGCCTCAGTCACAGTACTGGGGGATACAAGCAGTGACAACGACTTTGTAGGCAGGATGTGGGACTAGATGTGGAACTGACACTTGGAGGGTCTGCAATGGGTCTGCAACTTCCCTGGGTCTGCAACTTCCCCAAAGGACATTGTAGTAGCCTTTGGCACAACACTCAGAATGTCTTAGGAATCCCAACTGTGAACCTGGGTATCCTTTCCTCCTGGTCCAAATGGTTCTCTTAACATAGATATTATCCCTTCTGGAGGCTTGGCCAAAACCCATCACTACCTTCCACTTCCAACTCAGTCTCAGAAAGGGAGTCTCCTTCTGAACCTGTGGGGTCCCTGAGTGTGAGGTAATGCCAACAGACTGTATGCTGTCTAGCAGTAACAGATGAAATCAGGCCATGATTAAACTCAAGCAATCTAAATTCAACATTAGCCAGTTTCTGTTATCTCAGAAATACTGTTCACCAAGACAGTTTCTCCACACAATTTATTAATGTGTGGGGCAAAGAAGAAAATATAGCTGGAATATGATAGAATTTTTTAAAGTTTACTTTTGAAACTCCTAAATGGAAAGAAAAGGAGACATATTGTATTTTCACTTTCTGTTTTCCTGTCCTTGGCTTTGAGGTAAAAGAGCACCAAGATTCCTGTTAAGTCAGTGAAAGGTTCTCCTTGCCCCTCCATCTGATAATAATTCTTGGGAATTCCTGAGCGATCTACTTCCCAAATTTGCAATCATATTTCTGTGCATGTCTATACAGCTCTGTAATTCAGGTTCCAAATCCACAGCATTTTTTTAAACAAAATGACATAATTGCATTCTTTAAGTGCTAGTCATGAAATCATCACTAAAAACAAAAATAAGAAAGACTATCATGTTATATTTATGTAAGTCAAATAAAATTCTCCCTTTCTAAGGAGCTTTATTTGGTTTGTTGAAGACATGTTGATAACTGCTCCCTTTGGGGGAACTTCCTATGGCATTCTGTAGTTTGATATTTTATTCCAACGTTGTCAGGTTCTTAAGCTACACTGTAGGTATGACTTATTTCATGAAAACCCTCTGAAATGGACATTTATTAAACTTCATTTATAATTCTGTGAATTTTGATCATATGAAGATAATGATCTAACCTGTCCAATCATGCAACTTCTCTTTTTCTTCCCCTATGAACTAAATATGCTTCTTTTTTTAAAAAAAAAAAAAGGTCAGATTTGAGGGTCCACTTAAAATCCTCCATATTTTAAGCTACACTCTGAAGATCCTATGCAGCTATAGCACAATTTCAAATTCATGTAGGCATTTGTTTTTCTGTATTTTCCTATATTTACCCTAAATAAGCTTCCTGGACTCCAATACTTAGGGAGGAGTGAAAAGGGCTTTATATTATACTGCAAGAGCCCACTAAGTTCTCAGTCTTTCAAGGTTTACTCTTAGCTCAATATCATACAAGCCCTACATGATGCAAGTATATGGATAAGAAGTATTTCCAATACAAAGCCCTTAGCTCTGCGTCATAAATAAATTTGGGTAAAACCGCAAGCCTTCCACTGAATCATCTCGGCAAAGATGCCCCATCTTCTCTGCAAGAAGCAACCTAGAAATTAAGGGACAAAAAACACAGTCAATGTTCATTCAGAAACACAGACACAAGTTGTAGTGAAAAGCAAGGACACCACTTACCTTTCTTTAGCCAGTAGGACAGACATTCCCACCAGTTTGGCAAACTCTTCAGATGTTAGGGATCCCTTTTCTGAAACCTAACAGAAAAAGCAGAAAATAATATGATCATTTAGCCCATCTAGGTACAATACTAGAAAGAATGTTTACCAGCATACTTAGGAAATTATTACCAAATCTTCTACTAAAAACAATAGAATACTCATATAGAACTAAATCTTCTTCACTAATGTTTAATTCTACAAAAGCTAACAAACTCAGAACAAATACAGAAGAGGCTAAAAGATCATGGAGCCCTCCATAATGTAACAAAGCCACTGTACTAAGCCTAAAAGAATGATTAGATATTCTGAGAAGAAACATAACAAGTACTAATTCAGTGTATACTACATGCTCCAGAGAGGAACCTTATATATAGGTTTAATTTTTAAGTATATCAATGGTGTTAGGTTTTTCAACTGGTTTAAAATAGGAAGTATATAAATCTGAGTCTTTCACATTACACAGGCTTACCACAGAGGCTATGAGGGCAGCAATATTTCTGTCCCAATGAGCAATACCAGCAGATTGGTGAGTAAAACCCAACTATACCACAGTTGCTTTTCATATTTTTTGTAGCGGCTATTCACAAAGCAAATGACATTTTACAATGCTGTGTATGTAGGTGTTATGGAAAGGAAAAGTTCAATCATGGGTAACATTCTGATTAAAAAATTAAAAACCTAGTCTTTTGACAGCTTCACAAGCAAAGCGAGCACCTCACAAATTCCTCCAATAAATGTTATGTGTGTCAGTTAAGTTTCAAAAGGGTTTCAACATATAATTTTGATTCAGGTTTATTTATGATTAATGATAAACTGTGTTTAATTGGGCCTAGAAACATTACTTTTCAGTAAAGTTAAATTCAGAAGGAAATCCTGTTTCTTAAGCTGCTAAGTATCTGGGTCTTTGTGGCTGCTCTAGTGGTTGAAGGAAACTAGGTTCACTTACTGTCTCCAAGGCTGAGGCCACCATTTCCTCTTCCTTGTGGGACTGGAGCTCAATTACCATGACACCACTGTCAAAAACTCGGAGCCTAAAAACCCACAGGTGGGAGAAAAAAGCCATGAATATCAAGGATCTTTAGGAACCATGGAGGTGCAGTTATTTTTCACTTTCTTTTATGCCCAGATATAAGAGAAATATTAATACAATACTACATTTAAAATATAACCACTACAAGTAACTATGGCATATCTAAAAAAATTATGTATAACCAGTTAAAAATTATGAACTATAATCCATCCTAAATAAAATCCTAAATAAAATGTCTGACTATGTTTTTTTTTTTAAGCCGGTGGATAAGGGAAATATAATTTGCAGCTGAATGTTTGCACTTCTTACACTCCAGAGACTAAAACAATATGTCTAAGGAAAGAGAGGCTGGTTATTCTGACCTTATGGGAGGAACCTACATTCTTATCTCTCTGGCCCAAGTGGACAGGAGGCAACACTGCTAACCCTTTGGGCCACATACTGCCTTGGCTGGGCTAGAAGCCAGATGACAGAGGTGCTTGTGGCAGCCATGAATTCTTTCCACAATTAACATTATTTCAAGGGCAGTGTTTTGGTTTGCCAAGCATGATGGCAGAGCTGACAGGCCTTTCCTGTCTAATTTGTGGGAGTCATAGTTACACCTGGCAGACTTCCTGCTGAGGTTCTCTTACCTGAGTGGTAATTTCAGTGCCTCCAGCATCCTGCATGCATTCACTAAATCTTCTGGTGAGAGCAACTAATAGGGAAAAAAATCCAGTTTACACTGCAAATTAATAGAGTGATGCTATATAATTATAGTGATCACTAAAGCAGATAAACAATGTTTATCATTTATCAAGGACTTTAGATGACTTAATCACTAAAGTAAACAGCATTAGCAAAAGCAGAGCTATCCAATAAAAATATAATGCAAGTAACCTGAATTTTCTAGTAGCCACATTAAAAAAATAGGTAAAATTTTAATAGATGTACTTTATTTAACACAATAGATCAAAAAATTCAACATATAATATAAAAGTTTTAATGAAATATCTACCATTTATTTTGTATGAAGTCTTCCACGTGTAACTTACATTTGTGGCACATCTCAATTTAGATTAACTACATTTCAAGTTCACAATTGACACAAGTAGCTTGCCAAGTGGCTACCCTTCTGGACCATGCAGCCTTAAAAGAATCAGTCCAGGGACTCCCTAGTGTCGCAAGAGGTTAAGACGCAACCTATGAAGCTGTCTGCAGCCACTGCAGCACCTGTTCAATCCCCGGCCTGCCAGGGAGCTACCCACATGGCGCCGCAGACCTTTCCTTACTAGCCCGCTGCTCCCCTCAGCAGTGTATTTCAGTCAGTCTGCCCGTGCTGTTCCCCACTGTGTCTCTGGTGAATCCTCTCACCCCCCACAGCTCTGGCCTGTACCCCAGTTCTTGTATGCATAAATAAATAAATCTTAAAAAAAAAAAATCAGTCCAGTGTGGCACAGCTGGAGTCGCACAGAGTGGCTCTGGCGCCAGCCCAGGCTAAGTGCAAACTCCTCTCAACCACAGTCTATAAGTGCATCCTGGTCATATGATTTTATCTCTGTAAGTTTCAATTTCCTGAACCCCTAAGTAACCCACCTCCCTGCCCAGATGAGGATAATATAAGTAGCTACTTCACTGAGTTACTGGGAAGGTAAATGAGGTAGCACGTGCTGAGGTGCCTGGTGAACAGTGAATACTTATGGTGACTATTCAGAAAAAAACACAGAGCAGAAGCTTAACTTGTGGGGCTGGGGTAAGCAATGGGAAGATCTGTGTGAGTCATTTGCATGAAGGTAACTGTTGACATCATCAAACTGACAGCTTAGCCACAGTGCACAGCGTTGGCGGCAGGGATGTTGGGGTGATGAGAGGTGAAGAATAGCTGCTGCTGAATCAGAGCCAAAGGGACAAGTACAGCTCTCACTCTGGATTATCTCCAGGAACTATGCATCCAACCCAGCTAACGCCACACTTCACTATCACAGACAAAAAACATCATGCACAGTCTTATACAATACAAATATAGAATATTAAAGCCAAAGATATCGTGCAGTCCAAGCCTTTATTTTATATGTTAAAAAAATCGATTCCCAGACAGGTTAAGTAAGCTTCTCAAGGTCACTAAGTAAATCTTTGGTAAAACCAGGCACAGTGTCTGTGCCTGAGAGCCCAAGGCAGTATTCTTTTCACTGTAGACTGCTTCTCAAAATCATTTTGATACTTAGAACCCTTTCCTCAAATTGAATTCTCAATTGCATTACAGGAGAATTTATATTATCTCAAGAAAGTCTGTATTTAGTTAAAAGAATATTCCATTCTTACCTCCATTCCTCGAGCTCGGTTTACTAAACAGTATACCTCAGTGAGTGACATTATTCCTCCTCGTTCCTGTTAAAATATGAAATAAAAAAAGGTATTTTGTTACAATTAGCACCAGTTATCATCCTTTAACAGAATTCACCATCAGAGCAAAATCAGAAATCATAATATTTCCTAGGAAGCTTTTAAAAATGATACTTACATGGGAACCTATTCAGATGCCATGAGGCATTTCAAATTCAGTTAATGTCATTATTTCTGTTTTAACATTACTTAAATGAAAAGAGGGGTTTTACACAACGTTTTAAGAAATGTGCTTATGTGTTTTCAGTTATTCCAGCTAATAAATGAAGAAAAAATTATAGAATTAAAAAAAAAAAAACATAGCTATTTCGCAATTCGAATGAAGCAACAATCTAGCAACAAAAAAAGACAATCAGACATTCTGTACCTTCTGATAGAAATGCACCTTCTATGCAATATTCTACTCATTCAAAAAAAGATCTCCTAGATATAACTACCAGTTACAAGTTAGCAAGATCCAGACTGAGACACTCCATAAAATAAATTACTAGTTTCTTCAATAAATAGTGTGTGGGAAAAAATAATAATAACAACAACAACAAAACAAAACAAAAATAATTTTCTGCAGGGGAGGAGCAGGGAAAGGGATTAGAACAAGAGTGGGTCGAGCACAAGGGACTATGGTGATGGTGCATGGGTGGTGGAAACTTTATAGGGTTTACACCTGAGAAAAGAAAGCGAACATTGTAAGAAAAAAATAAATAGATATTAAAAATAGTGTGGGGGTGGGGAGGGAAAAAGGGGGAACCTATGCAATTAAAAAAAAAAACAAAAAACAACTTGAGAGACAAATCAGTCCATTGCAGTGTATACTGATTTTAACAAACTACCTGTAAGAGAAAATGCAAATACTAACTAGATAGTTGATACTTTCAAAATTATTTTAAACTTTTTAGGTGTGAAATGAGATTATAATTATATCCAAAGGCATCTTTATCATTATAGTTACATACTGAAAACGTTTACAGATAAAGTGATGTCTGGGATTGGTTTGAAAATAAGTTTGAGTGGAGGCTGGCTTACAGATGAAGCTGGAAGATGGGTAAGTAGGGGTTAATTACACTACTCAATTTTGTCCTATGTTTGAAATATTTCCTAATAAAAGTGCTTTAATAAGTAGTTTGATTGCCTGAATAGTGTTAGACTAGACAATGTATAATAAATTACAAATAGTAGACTGTATATTAAGACTAGATATATGGAATATATCTAAGTATAGAGAGATCATATATTTTCTTTTGAAAATAAAAGAAAAACCTCATGTCAAATAGATTTAGAAAGTTATAGATATCTGAAATGGAAAAAGAAAACAATTTAGAAGATTACTGACAAAGAATCTATTAGTAAGTACTAAACTACTTTGGTATTCTAGAAAAGAAAAAGAACATGCCGATTGAACAGTAACCACATCATGAAAGGATGTAAAGATTTCTGATGACATGAAAATAATTTAATACAACTGAAAAAGACCAGATAGGTTTTGTTTTTACCTCTAAAGGTGCCTGCAATATTCCAACCAGTTGTTTGGCCAGCTGCATGTGGTACTGTGTGCCAGAGCCGTAGGTTTCCCTGGTAACTGGGTTTGCTATCCCCATGCTCAGCAAATAAGATTTAAATTTGATGGTCTATAATGATAGCCGAAAACACACAAAAAGAAGCTGTAGAATTAGTCTACCATTCCATCGTTTGAAATCCTTCCAGCATAAACTCAATTATTTCTGTATCAACCCATTTTTCTGTCGTGTTCATATACTGTGAACTCTAAGAAAGTGAATTTCTAGGATTCCCTATATATATCTATTATTCTTCCTTCTCCTATCTTGGTATTTTATATTCCATTTACCTCACTACTTTAGTACGAAAGATTTAGATAATAATTATCCTATATTTAATGCCAACCAAATGATACAACTGAAAACATAAAAAAGGAAAATGGCTGAACCAAATTGTAGGCAATAATAATGAAACAGAGATCAAATTTATGGATATGTATAAAATAGTCACTACCTTACACATTTCAATCTCTACTTTCTACACTCAAAAAAAAAGGTATTGAAGTATTTATGACTTTTTCTTTTGTACTTTCATATATCCTCAAGTCTTAAAAAATAAAATACATCAAGAAAACAAGCTGAAAAACTACCAAAATGTCATTGTATTATTTGCGTGATTTTGTTTCTAATATCTTAAAAAGCAATTTACTTACCTCATCTTCTGTGATATCACCTTGCTTGTCTTTAATCTTATTAGCAATTGATTTTGATAACTCCACCATTTCCTTAGCCTGTCAAGAAAACAGCAAAAGGTTGAAAAGAAATAACATCCCAGAGTGCCTGCTAATATATTTTCAAAACTGTATAATAATTGGTATGAATTTAATAGGTATAAATGACATATACCTTGACCATGAGCTTGCTGAGGTCCTCAAAGGCCTGAAATGAGAAATTTTTTTTATTGTAGTCTGTCTGAAGAATTAAAAAACTTTAAGGCAATGAACTCTATTTTTTTCCCTATGATACAAATTCATAAAATTTTCTTACAATTTATTTATATAAATATTGTACAAGTACTAAACCTACCTTATTCTAAGAATTAAGTCTAGCTAAAAACCATAAATTTCCCACAATAAACTGCAAAAAAATCTAATTTTCAAAAAGTTGTTATTAATTAGACAAACAAAGGTGACATAAATAACAGTTCAGACAATATTATTTACAATTCTTGATGCAAGTAAGAAAATTTGGCATTGTTTTTTCCCCAAAAAAACATTTCCTGAAGGAGGGCAAGAAGTAAAGCATTGTAAAGCTTTCCAGTCTGAAAACAGCAATAGGCAGCTGCACAACAATTTTGGCTTTAATAATAGCAGGCAGAGTTAACTGAAAGCCTCTAAATATTGAACAGCTTTGGACATAGTGAATATTACAAAAGAAAAACATTCAAATGTCACTAAATCATATCTAAATAAACCTACCAAATATTTAATTTGACAATGTGTATCCATTTCGAGGGCCTCTTCAAACTTAATCATACATATTTGTAAAAGTATATGTATGGTATATACACATGTATGACTACTTCAAGTTACCAAAAGTACACTTCCATTGCAGAATATCTTATAGCTAAGTGATGTGCACAGATGTTATTTTTTTTAAAACCAATTAAGCAACTTATCATTAATTGAAAAATCTTTTGGTACACATATAATGGTGGCCAAAAGGCTCTGATGAGCTCATGCCAGTCTTAATTACATGCAGGAAAGCATATACCCCATCTGCAAAACACTTTTGCTAAAAGAAAAGAGTGTTGTATAAGATTCTTATGGCCAACTCACTAAGGGTAATACTGAAAACAAAGGGGAATGTGCACACACCTAACAGGAATTTCCTCAGATAAACAAAAGGCTTAAACACTGGATTCTTATCAGCAACAGCCAGCAAATGCAGGAAACCTTTTGTGGGAAACTCAGGGCACCAGCTCTGAAACCAAGTCAATTCTAACATTTAAATGGGGGTGCAGGGCAAATCACACAGCAACCTAGTTTTCAGAAATAAAACCCACAAACACTTTAGATACTTAAATTTTTACTTTCAACATAAAGAATTTCTTTCATCTATGTAAAGAAAACTAGAAAGAGAACACTTAAAGTTTGTTCTATGGTCTCTTCACCATATTGTATTTTCATAGATAAAACATGCTAAAAGTAACATTGAGTAAACATAAAATACATACTTTATTTCTTATTAGAGTCAATAAAAAATACCTATAAATATTTTAGTGACTTGAAAGAATTACCTATGAAATATTTTAAGTAATTATTAAAATACCAACAAAACTTCCTCGTTTTTATTTCTATTTTCATTCTAAAATGTGGAGTGTTTCTATCGGCAGCCTCTATTTCTCCTAACAAGTCATTTCTCACACTGCAGGAAAGGCCTGTTCACCAGCTCAGCTCTGGGCATTAACACAGTACCCACAAGGTCTGTTGCGGGGCTCACACAAAACAGAATGAGGACCGTCTGCTGAATAGATAATCACCTGCACAAGAGAGCACTATGCGTGTGTAGATTCCAGTGCGCTATGCCACTCCATGAAGATTAGATTGGAACAAAATAACATTCCATAAATCAAGGAGAACTTTTCAAACACCAAATTAGTATGGCCACATTCAAAAAACGGAATACAAATAATATACAATCAGTTCACCGCTGCATGCAGATCCACAAGTGTCATACAAAGAGAATGACATGGAAGTCTCTGTTAAGAGCAGAGTGATGGTGGCCTCTGGGTAGAAAATACAGTGGTGACAATGCAGTGGCCTGCAAATCAGGAGACCTGAATTCCCACCATCCTGGTTCCAAATCTAGTTACTAGGTCTGAGAGAATGACTTCCAAATATAGGAAGAATCCCACTAAGGCCAAAATGCTAGAACTTTTTGGGGATAAAGGATTTTTTTAATGTGTCCAAATCCCAACATAAAAACAACAGGGCAACTAGATCTCAAAATCAAAAACCCATTGGCAACATATATTACAAAACTAAATGGCACGATAGCCACAAAAACCCCACAAGACTGGCAGGTGGAGACAAAGACCTGCAGATCTCCAGCATCTAGGCAGGAGAGAAAAAGGGAAGCAATGGGGTGCCCAAGAGATCTGGGAGTAAGAAAACTCCATAAGATCTAACAGGTATTCCCTGAAAAGTGAGACAGGCTAACCTGACCACAGTGATTAAACGGGGCGGGCTTGGCCCATATTAGGGGTAGGAGGCACCAGACCTCAGCAAGGGCTACAGTAGTCTCAGTGCTCTGGAAACTGACCCTCTAGACTGCCCTTCCAGGACAGGAGACCATAATGGGGAGAAACTACTGAGAGAGGAAAGAAGAAAAGGTCCAGATAAAAACAGGGAATGGGAACAGGAAATCACAGTAAGCAAGCCTTTTTAACACTGCATGAAAACAGCAGAAGTATGAGCTCCGTGGAATAAAAAAAGCTACCCTGACCTAGGTCTTCTTCTAAAAGTCCAGGAAAATTAATTTCACATGAAAATTAGCAACAGCAAAGCATCAAGGTCAAATCCCACAGTTATTACAAGAAAAAGGAAAATGAGGAGCAGAATAATAGTAGAGACAATGAAAGCATGTCAGAAAGACATGCTCATAGGTCAGATCAAAATTAAATTTTCAATCTTTGCACGCCATACAATTGATAAGGGATTGATCACAAAGATATACAAAGAACTCACACAACTCAACAAAAACAAATTAAACAATTCAGTCAAGAAATGGGCAGAAGACTTAAAAGACATTTCTCCAAAGAGGAAATGCAAATGGCCAACAGGCATAAGAAAAAATGTTCAACATCCCTTATCGTCAGGGAAATGCAAATCAAAACCTCACTGATATACACCTTACACCAGTAAGAACGGCACATATTAAAAAAAACTGGCAATAACAAATGTTGGCGAGGATGCGGTGAAAAAGGAACTCTCCTACATTGCTGGTGGAAGTGCAAACTGGTCCAGCCACTGTGGAAAGCTGTCTGGAGTTTCCTCAGGCTACTAAAAATGGAGCTACCATATGACCTGGCAATTCCACTCCTAGGGATCTACCCAAAGGACACAAAAACATTGATTCAAAAGAACACCTGTACCCCTATGTTTACTGCAGCACTACTTACAATAGCTAAGCTTTGAAAACAACCCAAGTGCCCAAAAATAGATGACTGGATCAAGAAGATGTGGTATATATACACAATGGAATATTACTCAGCAATCAAAAAAGATAAACTCATGCCATTTGTGGCAATGTGGATGGAGCTAGAAGGAATTATAATCAGTGAAATAAGCCAGAAGGAAAAAGAAAAATATCGGATGGTTTCACTTATAGCAGGAATATAGGGGAACCAAACAAGACATCAGTGTAAAAAATACTAATAGTACAAAACACAACAAAGCAAAATCAGATAATTATAAATCAGAGAATACTGCAGGGGAGGAGGAGGGAGAGGGATCAGAGGGAGGGAGGGAAGAGCACAGGGACTGAGGTGATGGTGCACCGGTGCACTGGGGAAGGAAATTCTATGGGGACTACACCTGAGGGGGTGGGAGGAAGCAAATATTGTTTAAAAATGAACAATGATGTAAAAAAAAAAGTAATTCATGCTGAGAGAAAAAAACAATAAAATTAAATTTTTTATTTCATTATTGAAAATTACAACACAGAAAAACTTGCCTGAAAATTTTTTAATTTCTGCAACCAAATGTTGCAAGCACATTACATAACTGAGTAAAACAACCCAGAATAACTATCACGTATGCATATTTTAGTAAAATCACTAGACTTTACAGAAGTACAAAAATCTTGGGGCATCTAGGAAAAAAAGCAACTGACTTTTAAAGGGGGAAAATAAGATTTCAGTAATGACTGACAGAATATTTCATGCGACACAAAAAAATTAACAGTCACATACTAAAGGCACTCAAGGGAAGAAAAAGTAAGCCAACAATTTTAAATCTAATAAAACTGCTTTTCAAGTATAAGAAATACAAACATGTCAGAACTCAGCAAATATAGTCTTCGTGAGCACTTTCTGAAAACTGTTTTTTCAGAGGACGAGCTTCAGACAAGCAAAATGAATAGAGGGAGATCAACATAACAACTGGTAGTATTACATATATTGTTACCTTATTTATTTATTTTTATTTTTTAAAGATTTATTTATTTATTTATTTATACAAGCACTGGGTACAGTCAGAAGTGTGGGAGGGTGAGAGAATTCACCAGAGCCAGGAATAGAACAGGCAGACTGAAGAAATACACTGCTGGGGAGAGCAGGAGGCCCGGGAGGAGAGGTCTATCGCGCCATGTGGGACCCTTGCCAGTGGCCGGGGATCGAATCGGCGCTGCAGAGGCTGCGGGCAGCTTCACAGCCCAGCACTCAACCGCTGCGCCACCAGGGCAGGCCCATATATTGTTACTTTAAACTCAGAATAAATGAGGGCAGGAAGGGAAAGAGTGTATGTAGTAGTTGAATATTCAGTCACTGTAGAAACAGTACACTTATTTTTAAAATATAGAGGAACACATACAAAAATTCTTTATAACTGTTATGAAACAGTTTGATGATGTAGTCCTGAATTTGAATAGGAGGTGACCTCATGAGGCACTGAAAAAATCCCAGCTCTTCCCACCCAAAAGGACTAGAAACACGGACCAATCCAATAGAGATGTATATTCTTAGCAGGCAGACTGTGGTTTTGCTATACTATTGCCTTCTTAAAAGAAACCAGAGCTTCTCAGATACTGGTCAATTCCAGAACTGGGTAAAGAAATGTACAAGATGGGATTAGAGCTTTTGTCACATCGGATAACCGGGAGAATATCAAAGTCCACCAGGTCACATCAAAAGCACTCAGGAGGCCAATCTGAAGAGACTCCCACTGGACAAAGATTAGACAATTTGAGCTTTAAATAGGATAATAATTGCAATTGGTTGAAACCTATCAAACATGTTAAAATTATGAATTAATAAGTAAAATGAACACTACTCAGTCATCTTTGGAGGACAATAGGAACTAATTTCTTTTCCTGATAATAAAGGAAAAGGTCCTTATCTTGCCTTCTCTATGTGAACTATATCACTTAGTAGCCAAACAGTAAATGAAGGCAAGTGACTCTTTAGAGAGTATTCTAATTAACTAAAAAGTGAAAAATCAATCATAGAATTTCATCATTTGCAGCCAACAATGAACCAACAGATCTATGCACTGAACATCAACAACTGCTAACATCATAGAAAGAGCCATGATGTGCCTTCTAATGACAGAGCACAGCATCACCTCTAGTCTCACCAAAGGAATCAAACATGAGTCTGATCAAGACTCTGAATCTAGCTGCCAATTTGCAGGAAATACACAAGGCCAGGACATACATAACTTTACTATAAACATACAATCTGCAAAATCTTGACAGTGGGCATTTTTTAGGTCAAATGCCCTTGATTCCTCAACAATTAATCTGTATTTTGAATTAGTAGGCCAGAATAGGAATGACGATCATTAATTTTGTGTCAACTTGACCAGAACATGGAGTACCCAGGTATTTGATCAAAGATTATTCTGAGTGTGTCTGTGAGGGTGTTTCCATCCTCAGTAGTTTGAGTAAAACAGAATGCCCACCCCAGGAGGGTACACACCATACAGTCAGTCTGTTGAAGGCCTGACAGAACAAAAAGTTGGAGAAGAGAGAACTCACTTTTCCTCTGCCTGCCTGCTGGTGCTGAGACACCAGTCATGTCCTGCCCCTGGACTAGTATTTAACAACATCAGTGCTCCTGGTTCTCAGGCCCTGGACTTGGAATTTCTATCACCAGTTTCCCTGAGTCACCAGCTTGCAGGTGGCAGATTGTGGAACTTCTCAGCCCCTATAGTCACCCAAGACAATTCCTTAAAATAAATCTCCTGTGTATGGAGAAAGATAGAGGTAGAGGGATATCTCATTGCTTCCATTTTTCTGGAGAACTTTGATCAATTCCAGTATTAAATAACTATATGCATAAGATTTTAACATACAGTCTTGAAATTCTAGCAACAACACAAATTGGTGGAATTTTATTTACAAACTTACAAAAACTAAAGAATTACTTCATAGTATCATTTCATAAGAACCCGAGACCATTTTTATATAAATGTGGGGAAAACAGTATGTTTCAATGCATTAAATAATTATAGAATAGAATGAATAACTTTTACTTAACAAAAGGTTTTTCCCCTTCATCTGAAATTTCTCATATATGGTAAAGATTCAAAACTACCATAATGTATGTGCTCATGGTTGTTCTCCTAGTAGAAGTGATGGGTTGATTTGAGCCATTATTGCCTCTGTGACTATTCCCTGGGCGGCCCTCAGCACAAAACTGTGTGGTGTCTGTCCAGGGCTAAGAGCCAGAAAGCAGCATTTTTCTTTTTTAAAATTTTTTTTAAATTTTATTTATTTATTTTTGCACAGAAGAACTAGAGTGTAGTCCAGATGTGCAGGGGGTTAGCCATGTATTTCAGTAAATCCTCCTGTTCTGCTCCCCTCTCTGTCTCTGGTGAGTCCACTCACCCTGCACCTCTAGCATTTTTCTAACTAAAGTTAGAATGTCCAAATGTCCAAAATAATTAAACAGAAGACTCTGAGTTGATTAATTATACTGTAGCACTACCCTGAAATAGAAATATCTTGCATTGACTCTATTTAGACTTTGAAATTTACATACCATAATCCATGATTAATATCATGGAAAACAAATTTATGTTTCTTTTTATTCCTTTTTAGCCAAAGCTTTTTAAAACATGTTTTGGCTTAATTGTGCCAACCTGAAGAATACCTGCTGATTAGAATAAAACTGTGTGGTTTCAGGCAAACTAAATTGATTCCAATGTATAGAATTGGAATTAGTCACGGCTGTATCCAAAAGAATAAACACAAATGGCTAGACTTGTGTAAGAGTTACCTCAGAAATGTTTTTGTCAGTTTCTTTTCTTTTTTCTTCCAGTTTCCTTTCAATACCTACAATTCCTACAGCCCTTATTCTTCCTGGCTGAAAAACAAAGTAGAAAATAAAACATACAAGATAGAAAGGACACACTCTTTCGGAACTTCCACATTAGGTTTTCAATAGCGGGAAAGGATCCACAAAGGACCAAAGCAAAAGAGCATACAATTGCATCTAGTTTCCTTTCAAAACACGTCCATTTCTTTCCATACATAATGACCTTATACATAATTATACATACATAATTAATCCTTATAAATAAAAAGTGAACATATAATAAATGGCATGGTCTACTCTGTATATTAGATAGAAATTTCTTATTTATTTTTGTACTTTGACAAGCTATCACATATGCTTCAGATATTTAATATAGTCTCAAAGATGCAGAAAAAAATCTATCAAAATTTTGGTACTTGACAGTTGCTGTACAAGCTACTTTTACGCATTTGGGTGTCCTCCAGATTAGTGATTAATATGGATTTTAAACACTGAGGGTGGTGTGTCCTCTCAACTACCACACTGATTATGAAGACAGAATGCAGCAAATGGAGTCTAGCTTCTGCTACCCAAGAAGTACTCTGGAGAGCAGTCATTTCTTTTTACTAAAGTTTCTGTCTACAGAGCATTAAATTAGTTTTTGTGAAAATAAATCTTTCTCCTCATATCATTATTTAGTTTCTGGAGAGTTCTGTCATCCCAGAAATATCTTTCCATAATGTAGATGCAAGTACAAAGCTGAAAATACTTGATTAAGAAGCAGTTTAAGAAATACCTGGGGTCCTCTATTTGGTTGTAATGACTGGGAAACCGGTATATTCTCCCATCTTCTCTGTGTCATTTCCTCTGACAAGCGCCTGTAAAACTGTTACATAGATACATACTTTAAATGAGTCAGGCTGTGCATCCTTGTACCACTCATTACTTAACATTGCTTTAGCAGAAAGATCTGTTCAGTCATTTGCAACAGGCCTAGAATTCGCAGAGACATCAAAGGAAACCAAAGGAAGTTATTTTCTTGGATCAAGTTCAGAAAGGACAAAGAAAGAAAAAAAAAAAAGAAGGAACTGACCTTCTATATAAAGTGAGCTATTCTCAACAAAGATGAGTGACAATGAAATAAATAGACTTACTTTAAACAATCCTGTCCATGTGGATTGTTTTCAATCTATAGGAAAACAGACACAGCGCCAAGAAAAATATACAACCATTATCCCCATAAAGGAAGCAGAGACTAACTCGTGTAGTTAAACCTGAAGCCAGAAATTAGGGTCAAAACAGCCTACATTGACAAAATATCGACTACATTTTCAAGTACAGTGAGAATGACTTCAGTTAGTCACTTGTGTTTGGTAAATGCCTACTATGAGAGGCATGCTGGATGGAAAGCTATAGAAGAAAGAACATAAAAAAATTATGATATTGATTGAGAAACATACACTTGTATATGTCTTAAGAATCCTTACACAGCAACCTATTCATAAAATACATAAACAATTATACTATGGAAAAATTACTTTAGTGATTAGATGTGTTTGGAGTTAATCAAGCTAGACCACTTCATATAGGTTGATCAGCTTCCAGATACTAAGGTAGTTTAACATTTTACACATTATATTCTGTTCCTTGAACCAAACTAAACAATGAACCCTTTCCTAGTAGCCTGAGGGCATGACTTAGCCTATTTCTAGTCTCTGCTGTTTCCTTGTGACCACACCCTCCTGCTTTCCAACTCCACTGAAACCCTTAACTTCACATTATCCACTAGTTAAGACTTACTGTATTGTAAAAATTTTATTACAAAAATAGCATGGAATCTGCTATGTTGTACACTATTGCCTTCCATCACATTAACAAACAACAACAAAAAATACATACAAACACACATTTCTAGTCCAATTTTGTTCATATAGATATTTACCTCAATCTGGCCATGTTCTTTGAAAGAGAGTTTGATGTAGGAGTTCTTACTACTCTGGAATGGACCAGGTTCTTTGTTAGCAGGAGCTGGGTGAAGATGAACCACTATTTTGGCACTAAAAAAAGTAAATGTCATAATATATTTGACTACCTTTGAAAGAATTACTGACCTTATTTTCGTAACATTTAATATATTTCAGTCACTTTAAAAATTCATGTAGGAATAAAGAACATCCTAAAAGAAATCCTTTTAAAGTTTGTGTTAATGAGCTTTTCAAAAATGCCTCTATTTAAAACTTACAATGTATAAACCAAAAGTTCAAGTTACTAGCTTTATAGATTAAATTAAAATGTAGCTTTAGGAAATAATGCAAAGGAAATCACAAAATTTGGGACTTATGATTTAGGTTTATGATTAGCATTTCCCATATCTAGTGTCATCCCCTGATGCTAGCAGGATGCTTACAATTTCTGCCAAAGCATACTAACTCACTCATTGAAAAACAAAATGTGAAAATCGATCTGTGTAAAACTGGTCAGGTGACTGTAAAGACAGGAGAGGACACAGTGCAGGTCTTCTAATCCCATGCAGACCGGGTAAAGGAGGAGTCAGAGTCCTCAGTAGTTTTGCAGGTTTTTTATTGGGGTTCACCAGGCATATGGCAGGCAGGGGTCCTGGCTGGGGGGCAGGCCTCCCAGCCCCCAGCAAGTCTTCACTCTATCTGGGCTCTCTAGCATTCGTTCTGCAGCTTCTCGGCTTCTCTTTCAGCTTCTGCTTCAGCTTCTACTGCTGCTGCTGGTGTCCCCATGACGCCGCCCTTAAAAGCAGTCTTAGCTCAGCTGAATCCCATCTACCTATGCCCACACCCTATTCCAGGTGCCCGCCATCAGGCATGCATTCAGGACAAGGATCCATCATCTATCCTGATGGCGGAAGGGCAGAAAAGCCTGATATTTTCTTTACCCTACAGTGACATTTTATTAAAACTCCATCCAAAACTAATATTCTACAGTGTCATTTTGGAAAATGCCACTCAATCAAAAACATGTACTAAAAAGATAACCAACAGCAAAAACAATTCTCAAAATGGTCTAAGAACACAAACTGCTGTATCTTTATAACTACTGTTATCTTCTGGGCTATTAAAAATACTGTTATATTTTTGCTCAATTTTAAAGTCTTCTCTCCCTCTCTTTTTCCCACAACTTGCTCAGTAAACAATCTTTTTTAGAGTAGTAAAGCTAAAAAACTCATGATCAGATATCTCAGGTAACTGGCTTAGCTTTTTCTTTATAATAGTATTACAAATTCACCTATTAACTCAATTTTACTTTTTTTAGGCCCATATGTCTCACTAAAAATTATTGTAAAATTGAAAAATCATGTGTGGAGCCTACTCAGTGTAAGGAGAGCTTGATTAATGAACTGGGGGCAGCCTCACAGGGACTCTATTTTATTCCTCTTAGTGAAAACCTTTAAGTGAGATGAGCAAATAAACCGTGCAAAGAGAATGTTTGAAATGAACTGTCAAATACAGTACAAAACTGTGACTTTAAGGACAGAATTGGGCCTCCCTGGTGGCCTAGGGGTTAAGTCTCAGTGCTATCACCACTAAGGTCTGAGTTCAATAAGGCCAGAAGCTAACCCATATATGGCACAGCAGGCTCCTCCCATCTCCCCTTTTGCTCTCTTTAGCAGTGTATTTCAGTAAATCCCCACTCTGTCTCTCTGGTGAATTCTCTCACCCCCTAAACCTCTGGTCTAAACCCCATTTCTTCTACACACACAAAAATAAATAAATAAATACAAAAAATAAGGATAGGGTCACTGAGCAAAAAATCTATAAAACTAAAAATACTAAACCCTTCTATCAGATTCTGTCAATGGAAAACCAATGAAAAGCTGAAAGATTAAGACACAGGTGGAGTTTAAAAGTCCCAAAGTAAGCACAAAAGATCAATTTTTTCATATATTCATTTTGTGGGTTCTCAATTACTATATTTCATCAAGTTTCAAGTCCACTAGGTCAAGGAAGCATTCTGAGTTAAGAGATGTTAAAAGGCATTATCTACATCTTTGAATCAATGAGATATGGTCACTGTTTGGGAGGAGGACCTGGGAACTAAAAAGAATATCTGAGAAGAGTTAATCTGGCATATTATCAAACTCTTCCTCACCTGGAGATGCTTCACTATTGTGAAGGTAAGTTTTTTGTTTTTTTTCCCCTAAGGTTTATTTTGTTTACTAATGTATAGAAGAGCTGGGGAGCAGACCAAATATGTGGGGGGCGGGGGAGAGGGGCGAGAGGGAGGGGCGGGGCGGGGGGTGGGGTGGGTGGGAGATGAGAGGATTCACCAGAAACAGAGTGGGGAGCAGAACAGTCAGATCCACTGAAATACACTGCTGAGGGGAGCAGCAGGTGAGACAGGAGAGGTCTGCTGCACCATGTGGGTCAGCTCCCTGGCCAGGATTGAACTCTGTGCTGCAGTAGCTGTTGATAGCTTGATAGTGCAGAGACTTAACCCCTTGAGCCACCAGGGAGGCCCCTGAAGATAAGTTTTTAAAATATTTTTGTTATAGGATTTAAATTTCCTTAGTGCACAGCAGAGGAAAATTCAAATGATCTGGAACATTCTTAAAAGTTTTACTTTCTAGAACTAAGATACAGAAACATGAAAAGGGGAAAGGGGATTTAGAAAAATAACCTACTCTAGAAATTTATGCCTTATTAGTATTCGTTTTTCTTATGTCAAGTCAATCTTAAAAGTCAAAGTCGAGAAACCTAATGATAACTAAAAAAGCAAAGTCATTTTTCTCAAATGGGCCATTTCTGATTTTAAGTCGTGAATGATAGAAACACAGGCATATAAAAGCAAATGTCTGTGGAAATATATACAGTGCGTTTTGGTCCATATCTAGTTCTTCTGACCCAGGGATTTACAGCTAACCTTAGTACTTGATTCACGCTTAAAAGTAGGGAAACACACCCTCTACGGGGGACTCCTGACCAATAACTATTATTTATAAAGCCCCACATAAGTAATCTTGCCATTTTAATATATCAATAAGTTAACTATAATAGTTTGGCTGTATACCTTTTTTGTCGATAAAGGCTATAATATGTAGACCTTACCTTTTCCCAATTCCAGCTGCCTGTTCTTCAATGAACACAATCTGGGAAAGAGGAATGGCCATGCAGTATTCCTGAGAGGAAATCAATAAAAAATTCAATAGAAAATTCCTAACACTCATTAGGAATCTTTTTTTTATGGTATTTTATGGAGTATCATATATCTTGGAGGTACTTAAAAATAATCGTTATTTTGTTCTTTAAATACACTTAAGGGCCTCCCTGGTGGCACAAGGAGTTAAGTCTCAGCACTATGAAGCTATCTGCAGCCCCCAGCCAGGGAGCTAACCCACAGGGCCCAGCAGACCTCTCTTGTGTTACCCGCTACTCCACTCAGCAGTGTGTTTCAGTCAATCTGCCTGTCTGCTCCCCACTCTGTCTCTAGTGGGTCCTCTCAAACCCCTGCCCCTGCTCCTCTGGCCTACACCCCAGCTCTTGTATGCATAAATAAATAAATCTTTTTTTAAAATCTTGAATAAATAAATAAATAAGTACACTTAAGGTGAAATAAAACATTGTACAAAATGAACAACTATGTAAAATATATATATAAATAAATATATTTTAAAAAATACACTTAAGGAAAAATAGAATACAAACAATACAGTGGTGGCATTTTGCTGCATGGAAGAACATAAGTGATTCAAAAGCAGTTAGAACTACCTTCATTTTCATAGTAAGTACATCTTTTTAAAAAATATAGTACTTATATGAACACTTTTTACATGTAATATTGTATGAAAAACAAAATACAAACCAGATAAATTAAAACCATTTTAAGGAGTATATAATGCAGGTGATTTTTCTTCTTTATAACATTTTCTACTTTACCCACCCACCCATCCACAGCTTTCAACAGAAAATACTGATGTAACTTCCTTTTTTTAGTACATTTAATTTATAAATTACTACAAATGACTGGCATGTAAAAGGTCTAAGGATTTCTAAATTAACCTCCTTATATGATATTTTAAAAATTATATTAAGATTAATTAATTTGTAAACATATATTTAAGAATACCCATTCTTCCTAAAATATTTCTTTCCTGAGTATATATTCCTTTTAAAAGAATCAAGCAACATTAATAGTCCTAAGGCATGCATTATCAACAGGGGCATACTGTCACTAGCAGGGCAAAAATTGCTCTTGGGGGACAAAAAAAAGTTATAGATTTAGCAATGGTTAATGGTCTTTCAAAAGGTCACAGCTCAGTATACAGCTTACACATGTTACTGAAATTTCATGGATGTGGAATTAGGAAAATAATGAAGACACAGCATATCTTACTGGTAACACTGAAATTTACATACTTTCAAGTGAAAGCTGTTGGAAATAAAGATATTAGCTCTATACACATGACATGCTCTCTCTTTCTAGTAATAAAAAAAGGAGGGTTTCTCTTCTAGTGGAGTGACTTGGAGGCAATTCTCAATACACAGTAAGAGCAAGCACTTCATGGCAGATCTGGCCTCCTGATTCTCAAAAACAATGGGGTGAGAAGTGGTTTTGAGGATGTATGGGTCTTTTTTAAGGATATCTAACAAGTGATGGGAGAATTACTCCCCTGTTGCACATGGAAGGATTCTGGAATAAGATATGAGTGGTGTTTAAAAAACAGGAGTCGCCATGATTCTTGACTCAGTAACTACAGACTCTATTGGAGGTAAATGAAGGGCAATACTTTAACTCCATTCAGAGAGATAATGTGGACACAGTGCTGACTTTCTGAGGAGGAAAATTTATTACATCTATTCATAGTTTTGTCAGTGATTTAATACCTAGAACAGATAGAAAAAATGGTATCTTACATGATTTTTCTGATCTCTCCAAATTAGTCGGTGTGTACTAAGAAGAAGGGTCCCTGCATCAAATTTGATCTAAAAGAAATACAAGATCATAAGATATCATTAACATTCAATGTGGTCCAGATGTTCTTCCTCATAAATTATACAACAGTAAGGTAATCATATACATAAATACTTACAATTAGGCTTATCACAAATTAAACAGAAGCTGTTATATACTTTGTAAGTCCTCTTATAAATCAATGGGGGGAAAAGCCTGTAACCCATTTAAGAAAGGGACAAAAACTACAGCAAGTTCACAGAAAAGAAATTACAAATGACTCTTAAACATATTAATAGATGCTCCACCTCACTGATATTAAAAAAGGGCATGTTAAGAAATACAAAATACCTCTTTCATCCATGAGATTAGAGTTCTCCCTTCCAAAGTTTGGTAACATTAAGCTGGTAAAGTGTTGGAGAAATAAGCATTCCCACACATTGTTGAAGGGACAACTTCTGTGGAGGTCAATTTTTAAATAACTACCAAAAACATAAACACATGTATTCTTTGACCCAATATCTACATTTATAGGAATTTATCCCATGAATAAATTCATACACAGGGTTGTTAATATATGACTAAGTTAATTTTGTATTAAATGATGTTTGTTAGAAGCAAAAGATGGGAAAAAATTTAAATGTCCAGCAATGGAAAAATGTACATCAACACAATGAATAGTATAGTCATTAAAAAGAATGAGGAAATTCTTTACGTCTTTAATGTATTTGATAAAATTTAAGAAATAATCCTCAGAGAAAGATATAGACCACATCTTCTCTGGTATTGACATTACAGGCAAAACTAAATTTACTATTAAGTACTACTATTAAATGTTGCTGGTTTTTGACTCTGATTATAAAAACTTAAGTTCCTGGGGGCCTCCCCTGCGGTGCAGCAGGTTGAGCGCAGCGCTAAAAAAAAAAAAAAATAATAAAATTAAGAAATATCCTGATAACAGAATTGTTAAAAATGTGTGGGGAAACCTGCATTTAGAATGATGAAATGTAATATTCTCTACATAGAATAAATAAAAACAGCAAGATTCAAAACCTTGTATGCAGAGTATATTAGATATTTATATTTTTATACAAATACCTATATATATATATATATATATAGGTATATATATAGGTATATATACATATATATAGTTCTCCAGGAACTGGGTGATGAAGACAAACATGAGGGTGACTTTTAACTTACTCTTTGTGGTTTTTGAATTTTTGTCATGGAATTGTGTCACTCAAAATATGAATGTGTTTTTTTCAATTATAATGTAATCACCAAAAAAAAAGCCATTTCCCAAAATAGACTTTATAAGTATCTGTTTTCCTCTGAATCTGAAGTAAAACATGTAAAGTCTGGCTTCAAATGTTTTCATTAATCTTGTATATGCAAAACCAAATAACTGAATTTAAGATATTTTAAAAGTCTCCCTCTTGCCAATGAATAAGATTTCTTTTCCAAAATATTTTATCAACCTGAGAGTATATGATATATATCAAAGCATAGTAATTCCATATAAGAAACTTTGCTCTTTATCTTTACTGAAATCCAAGCATAAGAATGTGAATTTATTGCTGAAACCAGAGTATGTTCCATTGCTATGTCAACTATCAAGGTGCAAATGTAAAATGTTTGCTCTAAGTGAAGAAATTGTGTAATAGTTCCCTCTAGGGATTCCAAGGGATTATGAGCTAAACCTAACAGACAAGTTAAGACTGGTTTGCTTCCACCACTCAGAGTTGGCATAATTTGAACTACTCTAAGTTGATCTGACTTAGACATTTACTGAAACTCTTACCATTTTTTAAATTTAACATTTTTCAGTTATGAAAGTGATATACTGTTGAAAATACAGAAAACAGAGAAAAAGGTAAAAAAAATCACTTATGTCAGAGGGTGTGTGTACATGGATTTCTATACACACACTACAAATGTGTGCATATATTTATTTACCTATAAATATGGTGGTTTTAGATGTATAATGAGACCATGATAACATACAGTTTTATAACTTGCATTTTTCGCTTAACCTCTCATTAGCACTTTCTCCTGCTGATTAGGGCATTCTTAATTTAATTAACCTATCCCTATGCTGGACATTCAGACTCCTTCCAGTTTTTCTCTATACACAGTAATATATGGATAATAATACTAAGATGAGCATCTTCATTTGATATAATTTTTTGCCTCTGTATTTTCCTAAGGGTAAATTCCTAAAAGTGAAATGGCTAGCTGAAAGAAAATAAGCATTTTTTAAATCTCCTCCTTTATGCTGCCAACTTACCACTTACTTTATACACTAGGAAGCCTACATTGTTTGTTAGTTTGTTTTTTAATTAGCTGGAGCTATAGAAGCTTCTGTGAATAGAAACAAATGACCTGTCTCCACTGCTTATGAAAATAACACATTATCCAGTTATAGTGGGCCCATGGAATGAGGCCATGAAAACTGCCTGTATAAATAAGCAAGCACCTATATTCACAAGAGGCACCTGGGCAGTGGGAATAGCAGAATTGACTAGTTTGGAATTCTAGCTCTACCAGTTACTATTTATGTGACCTTGGACAGGTAGCAGTTTTGACTCAACTATTAACTGAGGGCCTCAGTCCTCTCCTTTGACAGGATCAGCTCTATTCAACACCATGCAAAGAATCTTGGCACTGGGGATGGCGGTGCTTTAAAGCAGCACAGTACACTGAACAAAGCACAGGCTTTGGGAGTCTGATCAATAGAGATTTAACGCTTGTCTTTCCTGATCACCAACACTGCATCTTAGCCAGTCACTTTCTCTTTGAGTGTTAGCAAAATCTCATTTTATAAGCCTACTGAGAGGATTAAATGAGATCATATGTATAGCTGCAAGCACACAGTAGTTATTTTAATTATTCAAGTTCAATAAATGTAAAAATAAAAGAGGTGACAAAACTAAACCAAAACAAATCCTAGAAATATTACTGCAAAATTAAAGCTGCAGGAGAGGGAAGGGGGTGGGGTGAAAATAAAGGGGGAAGTGACCTAAGGTAAAGGACTACAGGTACTTTGATAGTGGGGGTGGTGTGGTAACATATATCTATTTCCCTAAATCATGTATGGTGTACCCTACCGTGTTCCCTGGATGAAGAAAAAAAAAAGTATTTCACACCTACAATGATTAGACAGAAAATTCAAGGATGAGGAAGGCACTCAGAGAGGCCAACTAGTGGTCTAGACAGCCATGTGCACGCTGGCTAGGGAAATGTATTCAGATGCACAGCTATGAAGTGCAAGCAACCTGGACTACAGTGCTTAGACGGGGAGAGACAGTGAAAGATTTTGAAGGGAGTCTGATTTGATTAGATCTTAAGGCTGATGGGCAGCTTCCTAGAGGCTACAGCTCATAAGGTCTGGAAGCCTTCCAGCAGATGGAGGAAGCTAAGACATAGAACTTTCTCCCAGGAATCAGTCTGGCCTTTTACCATGGCCTTTTACTTCCCACTTACTACTCAGCAAGTGACTGAGTAGATCCAGCACAGGGACCACGGTGGTGAACAGGTTTATCTTAGGTCTCTACTCCCATTTTAAGACACCTACACCCTCTCCCAATCCCATTTGTTAGATCAATTAAGAATTCTTGACTAGATCAAAGGATGTCAACTTAAGTTTTTCCTATGACTTTTTTTTTCCTTTAAACTAACACATATACATCTACGTGTCTGCTAAGGCAAAAAGAAAAAAATCAAGGGAAAAATTAGAATTTACCGGTTAAACACTAGTTTTTCATTTATAGGCATTAACAGCTTTGACTTTTTATTGTTTCACATATATCATTTGCATTACGTGTTCCTGATTGCATTTTGGAACTACACAGGACTATACAGAGTGTGGTGAACTGCAAAGGCATGACTTCCTGGAGGGAATCTCTGAAGACCAAATTTATCTTTGTCAGCACTCAGTTCTGAAAATGGAATTATGTCAAAGTCATCAGATCCACAGGTGTAACTTGGTTAAAAAAAAGTTAACTTGTCACTCCAACCAAAAGACGCAAACCCAATTTGAGATCAAATTAACAAAAGCGCTGAGGAGTAAAGGTGAGTGTGAACAAATTATTTAAGAAAAAGACCTTGACTCGCGAATTCAACGCTACCCTATGTGACATGCCTTAAGGGAGATGAAGATCTCAGTACCGTGCCGAGCCGGCTTTGTCTCTAGATAGCCTCGTAACCCAGCCCACGGCCCCGCCCAGTACCCAAAAGGAAGGAAGACCGAAGCTTCTGTGAGCACAGACCAGGAAAAGTTGTGCACCCAGGGGCGTATGCAAAACAGAGAAGGAAGTTCCATTAAAAAAAAAAAAAAAAAAAAAAAAACAAGGAGAGATAGTGAAAACTGGACACTCAAAATGCTGGTGAATAAATGGTTTTACTTTTCTTTTTTCCTCATTCCAGTTCATGCATTTCCTCCAGAATGGGCGTGTGCACTTTCACCAGAGTCTGCACTGAAAGCTTAAACACAGTTCACGCTTCTCTTGATTTGCAAATGCTTGGATTACACGGCAAGGCCTAGTACTTGACGAAACTTGCGCTCAAAACTCCTGTCTAAAGTCATCACAAAAACGAAACATAACAAACAGCCGCGAAGGCGTCCCGAGGAGACGCCGACACCTCATTCCCGAAACCCTTGCAGGGCAGCCCTCACCGCCCCGTCCGGGGCTGGACTCCCTCCCGCCCCGCAAGGTTCCCCAGCCCGGGGTGGACGCGAACCGCGGCGCCTCCGACTGGGCGGACGGGCCGCGGGGGTCATTGCGGGGGATCAGGGCAATGGGGGGTGCGAGGGGGTCGTCCCCGCCCCCCCGAGCGCGCCCCAGGCGCTGCTCCCCGCCCGCACAGGCTGTGCCCCCGAGGGGCATCTCCGCGGGGCGGCGGGGGCCGCCCGCGTCCGGGCGCGCGGGGACGGTCCCAAATGGGCGCCGACGCGGGGCGCGGGGCGCGCAGCCGGCCGGGGAGGCGCGGGGGCCGGGAGGCCCGGAGGAGGCCGGTCTGACCGAGCGCCGGGCGGTGGAGAGCAGGCCGGGCCGCGCCGCGCGTCGCCGCGGAGGCCGCCAGGGCCCGGCGGCCGCCCTACCTTCTCCTCGCCGTCGTAGATGCGCACCCCGCGCTGCTGGATCACCAGCGTCTCGTTGATCTCCAGGAGGCCGCTGGTCCACACGAACCGGTCCATGGCCGCTGCCTGGCCGGCCTCCGCCGCTCGCCAGCGCCGCCGCTCCCCGGCCGCGAGCCGAGCGGCCTGCGGCGACCCCTGGCGGCGGGCGGGAGAGAAGCCGGCAGAGAAGGAGCGTGGAGCGGGAGCCGCCTGACCCCCGCGCCCTCGCGGAGGCGCACCGCCCGGAGCGCGCCCGAGGAGGGGAGACGTGTTTGGAGCGCCCCCAGTGGCCGGCTCGTCTACTGACCCGGCCGGGACGTCCAGCCCATCCTCGGCCCAGCGCCCGCAAAAACCGGGAGCTTCGTAAGGGACTTTGAGGGAAACCGGACCTCATCTTGCGCTCCCTTATTGTGTATTATTCTTGTTTTTTTTAAAGATTGATTGATTGATTGATTGATTGATTGATTGATTGATTGATTGATACATACATACATACAAGCACTGGGTACAGTCAGAAGCGCGGGAGGGTGAGAGAATTCACCAGAGCCAGAGCGGGGAGCAGAGCAGGCAGAAGGACTGAAGTACACTGCTGAGGGGAGCAGCGGGCGGCAGGAGAGGTCTGCGCGTCGTGTGGGACCCTCCTCCTGTGGCCAGGGAGCAGCCGGGAATCAAACCAGCGCTGCAGAGGCTGCGGGCAGCTTCGCAACCCAGCGCTCAACTGCTGCGCCACCGGGGAGGCCCATATTCTTGGTTTTTTGTTTTTTGTTTTTTTTTAAAGATTTATTTATTTTTTATACAAGAACTGGGGTACAGGTCAGAGGCGCTCTGTCTCACCAGAGACAGAGCAGGGAACAGAACAGGCACACGGACTGAAATACACTGCTGAGGGGAGCAGTGGGGGAGACAGGAAATGTCTGCTGCACCATGTGGGTAGCTTCCTGGCGGACCAGGAATCGAACCTGTTCTGAACAGGCTGCGGACAGCTTCACAGCGCTGCACTCAACCCACTGCACCATCTGGAAAGCCGTTTTCTGGTCAGTGTCCAGCCCATTGCTATGTTCATTAAAGGTTGTAAGTACTTTTTTTTCAAAATGAATATTTAAGACCCGAAATGATTTTACACAACTATTATTTATATATAAAGACTACCTTGTGCCACTCTTTTCTTCCCCCTTAAGATAATTTTTATTTGATCTTTCAGTCTTATCTCTATCTTCTTAGATGCATCCTCGCCTGAGAGCCAAGTGGAGGAAGAAGCAAATGTTCTGGCTGAAGCCAAAAGAAGAGAGACCGCAGCGGTCCAAGTAAGCTGATAGCACCAATGAAAGCCACAGGGAACGGAAATAAGGAAAGCCAGGGGCCAGGGATGCAGCTACACGCTCTTGCACTGCACCAATGTCTAGAACTTGTCTCAGTGAAGCGAAAATATCCACTGGTATCTGATTGCCTGAGCACCTTTGAGAAACCCACCTTGTTAGTACCCAGACCCTTTTGGTTCTGGACCTGACGTTCTGGACGATTTCTGTCCTCAGCTGTGGCTGAATGTAAGTGTACAATAAGGTATCCCTACTGCTATCTTATCTGAAGGGGAAAAAAATAAATTAGTTTGATTTAAATGGCTCCAACATTTCAATATTATCTCCAATTATTACACAGACCTCAGGAATTTAAACAATGTTTCAGTAGCACTCCCATAATTTTCCTGTGTGATGATTCCCTATACCAGTCATTGGCACCAGTCCCATCTGCTAAGCTTCTGCCCTTTAATTTTTATATATTTTTAATATATTTTTGCATTATAAATGGAGCATCTATATTTGTACTACAACTAATTTTTTCCCCTTTAGAATTATTTTCTTAAAGTGTTATTACTGAACTGAGAGGTCCTTGGTTCTTGACTATGATAACAAAAGAATTCAAACCACTTTCAGGCAAAGCAAAACTATTTGGCCATTGTTCATTCATGAGGGGGCCTGTGCTCAGCATAGTGGGGGTTCATACTCTCATGCGGTTGACAAATATACGAGTTTCACACTCCCCAAGGTTGTCCAGTCAGTTGTCCAGTCAGGCTCGTGCTTCTGTCCTTCCAGTGGGAGGGGGAGTTTTCGTCCTTATTTGGCCATTGGCAGAACCACATAGCTGTCATCTTCGGCAGGGATGCAAAACCGCAATACTAATTAGGGGCAGAGGTCCTCAAGGCTGATTTTTTTAAAAAGGATTTATTTATTCATTCATACAAGCGCTGGGTACAGTCAGAAGCGCAGGAGGGTTAGAGAATTCACCAGAGCCAGAGCGGGGAACAGAACAGGCAGACCTATGAAATACACTGTTGAGGGGAGCAGCAGGCGCAGCAGGAGGTCTGTGCGCCATGTGGGACCCTCGCCGGCGGCCAGGGATTGAACCAGCACTGCAGAGGCTGTGGGCAGCCCAGCACTCAACCGCTGCGCCACCAGGGGAGGCCCCTCAAGGGTGATTTTAAAGTCATTCTCATCTTTACCATTCAGGTGCACAGAGATGTTTTATCAGCACCCCCTCCAGGTGTTGCCTATGTCCTGAATTTCTTTCGTTCTTCCCACCACGGTCAACAGTCAATTATCTTAGGCACCCCTCCCTGCTCTAACAGTGTCTTCCCCAAATAGAACTACTGTCTTAAAGAGTTTGAACACATTTTAGAGAACCTGTTACATGTTGGGGACCTATTTAATCAGCATGCAGTACCACTAGCAAATTGGTCTTTTCCCAGGCCAGGTATCCCCTAGCTGCATTAGACAGTATCGCTTTTATTTTTTGCTCCTTGTCAGCTATTTTATTCTTGTTTCTTTTTTTCATTTATGGTTCAAGCTATTTTTCAATTCCTTTTATTTCATTATTTTTTAACAACTTGCCAATATTTATATTTTTCTGGGAACATTTTATATGGTAGTATAACTGTTCTAGTACATGCATATACCATAATTTATTTATTCAATCTCCTGTTACACATATTACTTCTCAATATCTTTTTTTTTTTTATAGAGGCATGTTTTTTATTTATTTATTTGTTTGTTTGTTTCTTTGTTTATACATGCACTGGGTACAGTCAGAAGCGCGGGAGGGTGAGAGAATTCACCAGAGCCAGAGCAGGGAGCAGAGCAGGCAGAAGGACCAAAGTACACTGCTGAGGGGAGCAGCGGGCGGCAGGAGAGGTCTGCGCGCCATGTGGGACCCTCCTCTGGTGGCCGGGGAGCAGCCGGGGATCGAACCGGCGCCGCAGAGGTCGCCGGCAGCTTCGCAACCCAGCGCTCAACCGCTGCGCCACCGGGGAGGCCCTACTTCTCAATCTCTTTTAACCAAAAGAAAATAATTATCTGGAAGAAGGGCTAACATGGTGTGTTAGACAGCCTTCACTTAAAAGCACAGAAATGCTAATTTAGTTTAGAATGTTAATTTAAATGAACACAATTCAGGAGAATAAGAGGACTGAAAAGGAGCCACTAGTTAGGTATTTGGAGAACTAGGAATTCAAATTAATCTCTGATGGGTCTCCCAGGTGGCGCAGCGGTTGAGCGCTGGGTTGCGAAGCTACCCGCAGCCTCTGCAGCACCGGTTCCATCCCCGGCTGCCGGGCGAGGGTCCCACATGGGTGGAAGACCTCTCCTGCCGCCTGCTGCTCCCCTCAGCAGTGTACTTCGTCAGTCTGCCTGTTCTGTTCTCTGCTTTGGCTCTGGTGAATTCTCTCACCCTCCTGTGCTTCTGACTGTACCCAGTGCTTGTACAAATAAATAAATAAATCTTTAAAAAAAAAAAAAACAACAAATTCATCCCCAAAAGGAATTTTTATAACCAAAAATTAAGAAAGTATATATAGGTACCAAAAAACAAACAAAAACAAAAACAAAACACTGCAGGACCGAACAGTTGCCCAGGTGAATTCCTTTAAACCTTGAATGAACAAATAATTATTTTACCACTTAAAAGTTTTCCAGACAACAAAGAAAGTTGCCCTTGTCCAAAAACTCAGTTGAGCAAAGAATAGCAATTTCCTTTTTCCTTACTTCCTTTCCTTCTATTAGGTCCTTTTATTTACTTAGTATAATTTGTGTACAGTAAAACTTACCAGTTTTTAAATGTGCAATTTGATGACTTTTGACTACAATCATATAACCACAGTCATTATATATAGAATATTTTCATCACCCCAAAGTTTCCTTGGGTTCCTTTACATTCAATTTCCTCCTTACACCCCCTCCCCCGCACCATCTCCTGGCTTCTAAGAACCACTATCTACTTTCTATCAATATAGTCTTGCCTTTTCTAGAATTTCACATTAATGGAATCATTAGGTGTGTAGTCCTTTGTGTATCTGGCCTTTTAAATGTTGCCATGTTTTTAAGCCTCATCCATGTTGTTGCATTTATCAGTATTTTGTTCCTTTTTATTGCTCAGTAGTTGTCCATTGTTATGGCTATGTCACAATTTGTCAATTCATTCATCATTTGATGGTGTTTCCCTTTGTTTTCTGCCTAGGGTTATTAGCAATAAAGCTACTATAATATCTGTGAGTATATATTTATTTATTTCTCTTGAGTAAATGCCTAGAAAAATAAGACTAGATCATATGCAAAGTGTATGTGTAACTTTATAAGAAACAGAGACTGTATTCTTAGGTAACCATAACATTTAGCATTGTTACCAGCACTGTATGAGAGTTCTAATTCCCCACTAAACCTTGGTATTATATGTCTTCAAATATTAGCCATTTACTGCACATTGAGTGGTATTCTATTGTGATTTTAATTCCCCTGATACTTAACAGTTTGGCATCTTTGCTTGTGCTTATTGTCTTTTGCTAATATCGTCTCTAGGAAGTCCAATTTGTTGTTGCACATTTTAAAAATGTGTCATGAGAGTTCTCATATATTCTGGAGGAAAGTCTTTTGTCAAATGTTTTGCAAATATCCTCTATTCTAGCATCCCTCTTAGTTTTCTGAAGTGTCTTTTGAAGAGCTAAAGATTTTAATTTTGATGAAATCCAGTATCTTTTATAGTTTGTGATTTTATGGTGTCCTGTTTAAGAAATCCTTGCTTAACACAGTTACTCAGCTTTTCTCCTATCTTTTCTTTTTTTT